CCGCGGCGCCTTCCGAGACGGCGTCGACGTCGGTGACCAAGACCGTGAACGGGTCGCACCACTTCAAGATCGCCGGGTACCCGCTGGCCAAGGGGATCGGGGTCGGGAAATACATCGCCTCCGAGTGCTTCACCGTCGGCGGCTACGACTGGGCGATCTACTTCTACCCCGACGGGAAGAGCCCCGAGGATGGCGCCGCCTACGTCTCGCTCTTCATAGCGCTCGCCAGCGAGGGCACCGACGTCCGCGCGCTCTTCGAGCTCACGCTCGTCGACCAGAGCGGCAAGGGGCAGGACAAGGTGCACACCCACTTTGGGAGGTCGCTCGAGGGCGGGCCATATACCCTCAAGTACCGGGGGAGCATGTGGTGAGTAGTCAGTCCCCTTTGGCTATGCGCCCTGACATTTTGATCAGGTTGCATGCGTAGATTGTGCTGCTATGCGAACTAGAATATGATTGATTGCTATGTGAATCGGCTATTTTACATCTTACTCATGAGTATCTAGGTTTGCTCGTTGAAGTCATGCGCCTTGTGAAATTTGAGTTACTTTGGTGTAGGCTGTAGTATATTACTTCCTCCGTTTCATATTATAAGACTTTCTAGCATTGCCCACATTCATATATATGTTAATGAATATAGACATATATGTGTGTCTAGATTCATTAGCATCTATAGGAATGTGGGCAATGCTAGAAAGTCTTATAACCTGAAATGGAGGTAGTAGGTTTTTAAGTTGATTCATGTTAAGGAGTTCTACTAACATGGCAATTTCTTAGTAGCGGATTATTTTTAGTTTGTATTATTAGCACAATTTGTCATCTTTTTAGTTATGTAGACGAACTGCTTGAACTATGATGTAATTATGTAATGTTACTATTTTTTTATGGATCAAATGGCCACATTATTTGATTGTAGTGGGTTCTGTTCTTGCACCTTTCGTGGCAGGACATCGCTGGGCATGTTTCTCCTTGTTCTGGAACTGGAGTTGTCATGCTGTGTGTATATTATAGCTCATGTTGATTTGAGTGCTGTTACATGTGGGCTCGTTGCTGTAGGTTTGAGTGTTTTGGATTGATGTTCTCTTACTCTGTATTGGAACATCATTTGGGTTTTCAGTTTGTAAACAAATAGGGTAGGATGTGGTGGTACAAAGTTATGTTGTTGGTACACTGTCAGTCTCCAAACTCGTTCTAGTTGTTTGGTTCAAAATTCTTGATGGCTGTGGAGTGGTTAGAAGCAGCTTAGAATTGATGTCTCCTAATGTTTTGAATGGAAGTGTTTCAGCATGGAAATTTGATTTAATCGCTCCCCTTTCCACTTTCATGTTGATTGATCACACTTGTGAGATTCTGGGTATGTTTATATTGTTTGTTTTCTTTGATGATTTATCTGATGGTCTTAGAAAGTTAGAGTAAGTACTGTTTGCATATTATTGTTACTTTATGAATAATTGAAATGACTTCTCTAAATCTCTATAGAGGTGTCTCTGCTATTATCTTCATCATCAGCACCATTGGTACCTGGAATTGCTTATGTTGCAGGATGCAATAATCAAATGGTTGTGTTTAAGCTAGGGATTTTTTATTTTATGTGCTTACGTTTGGCATTAGGGGATGTTATTGTGTTTCTGCATGCCATCTAATTATACCAATTAGAGGAATTCCTTTCATGACTTGTATTTGACATTTGGGGATGTAGTGTGGGCATGGGTTGACGTGGGTAATCCTTCACCCACTCTAGTTCAACTAAATGAACTAAATTTCACTTCCCTGTTTAATTGTACTTCACTCATGCAAACAAATACTCCTATCTTCCAATTTCATGTATGCTCTGATTTGTTTGTGTTTTCCCTGTGCTTTCTTCTTACTGTTTTACTGCTTTTCCTTGTTTAGTTCTTGGATATGACCACATGCATCTTGCCTGTATAGTGTATATTGTTCAGTAGTGTTTGGAAATGACTTAAAGTTCTGTGCTTCGTGCAGGGGTTACAAGCGTTTCTTCAAACGGTCTGCCTTGGAAACATCAGATTATCTTAAAGATGATTGCCTTTTGGTGAATTGTACTGTTGGTGTTGTCCAATCACATACTGAAGGGCCAAAGATATATACAATACCAGTGCCACCATCCAATATGTCTCAGCATATTGGCCAGCTACTGACGGATGGAAAGAGAACTGATATTACATTTGAAGTTGATGGAGAGGTGTTCCCTGCTCACAAGGTTGTTCTTGCAGCCCGGTCACCAGTTTTCAGGGCACAGCTTTTCGGTCCAATGAAGGATAAAAACATGAAGCGTATAACGATTGAGGATATGGAGGCTTCAGTTTTTAAGGTTTCACTAGCTCACAGTTTATTTTGTTTAATTTATTTTCCATATTGTTTATTCCACTTGATTTAGTTAGTGCCACTGCCATGTCTTTCAGCTTTTCTCTGTGCTATGATATTTATTAAGTGATAATTAAAATTGTAGTCAGGAATAATTCAAATATAAATTGTTGGAAAAATATTTGAAGTTCGTTTTTTATTCTGAACTTACCAAAGTTACTGCTTATCTCTATTATAGTACCTAACAAAGCAAACAACAAGGAACAGAATGCTGTTCATATGCTGTTTTATTGTCACTAGTATAGCTACTGTTGTATGCGTTTTCACCATATTTTTGTGTACTAATGCAATATAGCATTGGCAAGTGACAACTGCTTTCCGTTCTGATTGTTGCTGCTATTGTATGCGTTTTCAACCATAATTTTGTGCACTGTGTTGGCAAGTGACAACTGCATATACTGTTGTAGTGGAGTTCATGTTACTTGATTTGTGCTTACTAGCTTTAAAATATTTCATACTCCTGAGATTTTGATGCACCTCATTTTTCGCAGGCCTTACTCCATTTTATGTACTGGGATGAGTTGCCTGATATCGAAGAGCTTACTGGCCTAAATACAACTTGGGTATCCACTTTGATGGCTCAGCATTTACTTGCAGCTGCGGATCGTTATGCATTGGAGAGACTAAAGTTGCTCTGTGAGCTCAAGCTTTGTGAAGATGTTGCAATAAACACAGTTGCAAACACTTTGGCACTGGCTGAACAGCACCACTGTTATCAGCTAAAAACTGTTTGCCTGAGATTTGTGGCTTTGCCTGAGAATTTAAAAGGTAAACATAATATTTATAATTTATTTGATTGCAAACTAATATCTTGTAGAAAACCAGTAGCTCAGTAAGTTTTTTTAGTGATGGTACTATTCTAGTTGATATATATACTCTTTTGCATACACAAAGAACATCCTTTTCTAGGTTCAGAAGGTGTCTCCAAAAATGACATGTGGCAGTTAATTATTTGGTCGCACTGGAATATAGAGTTAATGCTAGCTAAATATGACAGCAATAGAGATTCCTTTGACACATTCATGTCCTATGAGATCATGTAATGCACCTTGGCTACTCCTGCCGGTGCAAGTGGGTTGACCCGCGAACCAACTTATAGGCTAAGTAAGTGGGTTGACCCAAGGGTTACACACTAATTTGGACTATAAGTGGGTTTGCAGATCAACTCACTTGCACGCCTACTCTAATTGTTATATTGATTTGATTTAAACTCCCACATATGATAAATATGTCAAATGCTCAAGAGAGCAAGAAAGTGTCACAGAATTTTCACACAACCACCCTGCCAGTCTTGTATCTGAACTTCCTGTTGCTTTGGGGAGTCTGCCATTAGTGAATCAACCATAATAAACTGTTTACCACCAGTCCTTGGCTGGTTGTAGGCCATATCATTTGCTTGCGCTCTTGCAGTTTGCATCTAATGGTTGCTGTAGATGTCCCATGTATAACATGTACATTTGACCTACTAGTATGTGTTCCACTATGGAATTACCAGCATTCAGAATTGGTAGCTTAGGGAACTGATTTGAAGTTAGTAATGTTCTGGTGTATTCTGGTTCTTAAATTCTCTGCAAACTGATGTTCTGGTACTCTAGAGACATGTACATGCCTCGATTGTTTTTTTAGTTACACTCAAGTATCTTGAATCAATTGTTTGTTTATTTTACTGTCATATCAGCTGTATGATTGATCATACATCCCAGATAGCTAAATCTGTCAACACTCACTTAACTGTGTTGTTTTCTTGTGCAGCTGTCATGCAAACCGATGGGTTTGATTATTTGCAGCAAAGCTGCCCATCCTTGCTGACCGAGCTTCTGGAGTATGTGGCCAAGGTAGGGGAGCATTCGGTGAGCCCCTGCTTGTATTCGAACGAAGTCCTTGATGGTGGCGATGCCAATGGAAGACGTGTGAAACCGCGGATTTAACGGCAGCCCTGATAAAAACCTAGCTGGATTTCCTTGTGTTGTTTCCGTGTAAAGTGTTATAGTTCTATAACGGCACTTTTCTGGTGCCATATTATATCATGCATGTTGTAGTGTCTTGTGACTTCTATACCTCCCCCTATCGTTGCTACTCTGGAGCTGAGTTGTTGCTAATATATGTGTTCTACTGACTAGTGTACTGCAAAATTGCATTGCTGCGAAGCACATGGAGCTTCGCAGCCTGTGACCATAAAGTGCACTCAGGTGGCACGGCAAAGGTGGACTGGGCGCAAGGTTTTGTCGGTGGAAATAACGGCGCAGAATGTTTCTATGGAAGTTTAACTTTGTGCTTAGGTCAGCTTTGTCGATTTGTAGTCGTCTGTATGACTGTAATTCAATTGGAATGGTGAAATGCAATGAAATGTATCGGTTAGATCGTGTCCTTTTGCTTTTGTGTTCGGTTTTTCTATTTTTTCTATTTTCTTTCTTTTTTTTTATTGCTGTGGCAGAGTTGTAAACTATTCGCGATGATTTTGTTGCAGATATATTTTTTCCCAGCTTCTTTTGCATGAATATTTACCCCTGAAATCATTGTTCCCCAAGCAGAAATACATCACATGGCTGGGGGCATGGGGCTCCATCCTTGTGCCCTTTTTTCACATATACCACTATGGAATTAAACCCTATCATGTGACACATTTGTTATGAAACTCCAAGTTGATACTAGAATGTAGACTACAGTACATAATTCAGAATCACATGTGAAAGAAGGCTGGGGAATCAGACGCATTAGGAATAGCGATCAGACCGTTCGTAAACACAAACCAAAATTTGCCATCCAATAATCAGGAGAGCTCGCCGAGAGAGAGACGAGCAATCCAAAAACCCAACAACCTGTTCGCTTGCTTTGCACTCCCCCCACCCTCTTCGCTCACTGCAGATAGAAGAAAAAGAGATTTGTTTCTGCTTCCGCTGCTGCGAGCGATCCGAGGGGCGGGGAGAAAAAAGAAAAAAAGGAAAACAAGCCGCGCAGCCTCTCCCCGCGCCGACAAATCGCTGTGGGCGGCAACCAACTCTGCGAGCTCCGCGGCGGCGGTTCGGATCGGCGGATCTCGTCGGCCGGCGGTGCGGTCGCCACCACCATGATGAGCAGCAGTAGCTCCCCTCCACCGCCCTCAATTCCCACGGGGGTACCGACTCTTCCCTCTCGCTCTTGCTCTCGCGCTAGATCTGGGGGGTGCACCATTCTGTCTCGGATGCTTCTGGAACCCTTCGAATCGGGGGTTCTCTCGTGGTTGCGCGATCCGAGGCCTCGTCTCCGTGAGGAGTTTGATGCGCCAAAAGCTCTATGCGGCTGTGCTAAGGGTTTGTGATGCGGTTTGGCTTGAAATGCGCGGTAGCTCTGGTTTCATTTTAGCGATTTCAGTGCGTGGATCTCGCCAGATCACCGGGTTATTCGATTCGTTCACTAACTTTGTTTGCACTACTCCATTCTACCAATGCGATGTCATTTCTATGCTAGTTTGATTTTAGGTGTTTTGCTTGCTATCCTTGGGAATGTGACGGATTTTCTCTGATTCACGCACTGCTAGTTGGCTAGTAACTGAATCGAATTTGGAACTGCCGGTCATGTCAAGCTGTTTTGATAACTGATATGTATTCTGGGTTTCACAAAATGCAGGGTGGAGGCTTCTTCAGAGGTTACACCAAGCTTTGCAAGGGCCTCGCTGTCATATTGCTTCTCGTGCACCTTTTGATCCAGCTTTTTCCATCAGCTGTCACCTATCTTGCTCTTGTTCCTGGAAGGTACTAACCCAGATCTTTGTATCACTAAGAAATTTTTTGTGTTGGGTCTGACCAGTATCTCGAAAGTACTGGTTATTGGTTATGTTGAACTGAAACCTACTTTCTTCATGTAGTGAGCTCGGCTGCTTGTTTCGTTATTGCCAGCACCCCTTTTATGTTAGTTCTTATAAGTTATAACATGGCCATTTCTTATGTCAGCATGGATTTGTAGCATCTAATCTGCCTTCTGAAGATATGCTTTTGTTGTATAGTAATGTTCTGTACCATAGCATCAATCAACATATAAGAACTTGTACAGCTAGTCAACATGGATTTGTAGCAAGTTATTGTGGCAGTAATAGTTTGTGAGTGTTGTGCTCTATGCAGCACTGTGTTGATATATCCGTTATATTGTATTCAGAATTGTATCTCGCACACATCAAATTAATCTGCTTATTTCATTTATGGCAAAATGTAAGTATCAGAATGTTCTATAAAATAATTCAATATATTTAGTGCAGATATTAAATAGAATATGACTTTCATATGCTGCCTTCTTGCTTCTTGTTAACCATGCTTAATGTTTTGTATACTTCTCAATTGAATAGTTAATTTTATTTTCCTACAGGACAATCCCTTTTGCCTGGAACCTGATAACTGGTGGCTATGTTGAGCTAACAATTCCAGGGGTAAGTTCTTCCCCCAATCATTTATTTGAAGCCTCAATTTTTTTTTTTGCTGATTTATTTGTTGCCATGTGTGGGACAAGCTAACTGTAGTCTCATACTAGTAACAAACTGGATGATATTCGGGTTGGCAGTGGCATAGAATATTCTTTCTACTACCTGGTGTATTGGAGCTAAATGTTTAAGCCTGTTCAATTCAAATCGAATCATTTTTAAATATGGTGGGGCAATTACTTTATTTGGTATCATCTTTGTTTATTCTGCCCACAACTCCTAAGGCTATTGAGTGGAAAGTTTCTGTAAGAATAATTGTATCGTGTATATCTTGTTTGTTTTCCCGCACGATGACCTATTTGCCTATTTATGGTACTTGCCACAAATAAATACATCTAGCTGTGCGTTACCTATATTATTTTATGCCTCTTATTGCTAATGATAATGAGTACAGTTCTACTTGGCTGTTGCTTCTCCTGGACTACATAATTTGTTGGTTCATAGTTTCTTCTTTATGTTACACAAAAGATGCTCCCTTTGTTCTTTTTTTTAATGATGTTATTGATGTTTCACGGTCTCAATGATGTGATTTTGACCATTTTCCTATAGTTGATCAATATGCAGTAATATAAGGGGAAATTCCAGGATTTGTCACTCAATCTCTCATTGGCATGTGGTCCTAGGACCTAAAGGCTTCTTGTTAAGTTCCATATTTGTGCACTTTTAGATGATCCTAGTTTTCAAGTATATAGAACTGAGCGAGTACTGTAAGATTTGTAGATTCATCTTCTTCGGGGCCCTTGTTAAGACTATACCTAAGTAATTGAGCTCCCTCAACTCACTCTAACATTGTGCTTTCAGGTTATTATCAGCATAGTTGGTCTTCTTTTATTTGGGAAATTATTAGAACCTTTATGGGGCTCAAAGGAGTTATCGAAGTTCATTTTTGTTGTCAACTTTTCAACATCTTTGTGTGTCTTCATAACTGCTATTGCTCTATACTACACAACACAAGAAGAGAGCTACCTGTAAGTATTTTTGTTTCTATACTAGCATGCATATTTATTGTTCCTTGTTTGCTAGACTAATGAATTTGTACTTTTGATTTTTCAGCTATGCTCCTCTTTCTGGATTTTATGGAGTTCTGACTGGACTGCTGGTGGGTATCAAGCAGCTTATGTCAGAACAGGAGCTAAATCTTTTTGTGCTGAAGATTAAGGCAAAGGTTTGCATCTACTATTGTTAATGGAATGACTAAATTTCACAGTTATGTGTTTGATTTGATCTGACGTTTATTTTTTCCTGGCTGCACAGTGGATTCCATCACTTGTTGCATTGATCTCAGTTATTGTAAGCTTCTTCGTAAAGGAGCTGGTCTCTTACCTCCCAGTTATATTGTTTGGCATTTATATGAGTTGGATTTACCTGCGGTACTTCCAAAGGAGATTAGAGACAGGCTTGAAAGGAGACCCAAGCGAAGAGTTCTCTTTCTCAAGTTTCTTCCCTGAATTTCTAAGGTAGTCCAAATCTCCCTCTTTATATAACTTTGATTGATTTGTAGTTTGGAAGAATATCCTGACCAATTAATTGAACATGCAGACCTGTGCTGGATCCGATAGCTTCAATATTCCACAGGCTTCTTTGTGGAAGATCTGAAAGGGCTGATGCTAGAGGTCAGACATTGGATACCACACCTTTGCCTGGTTCAGATTCTATTGAGGCGAACAGAAGAAGGTTGGTTTTCTTTCTCACTCTCTCTCTGTCTTGATTAGAGCATAATTTCATCCACACTTGTGCCATCTAATGAATAATCAATATTTGAGCCTTTGGTACCTTTATCTGCCATTTGATTTGTTAATTTGTATCCCTGGAATAATATCAATCAATTTTATATTTGTGTTTCCCCATAATGTATCCTTCATAAGGATTGCTTATACTCCATGGATGCACTTTCTGATGTCATTAAACATTAGAACCAAAGTGGAATTGGCAATTGGATGCTTTTTTAGATATTGGATACTTGTTAAATTTCCAGCCTTTGGACATGGTGCACACAGCCAACAACAAAATGTAAAAGAAATTGAGTCAGGACATCAACTGCACTCGACTGGATGTTCTTAGTGTTCAGTCTTCTGTGGCAATAATTAGTGGCTCTATTTGGTGTTATGTTTTCTGCGTGTATGCTGTCCTTGTATCCTAGATCTCACTTGACTGTTGTTTATCTCACTGTAGAGAAAGGGGTCAAAGGGCACTGGAGCAAAGATTAGCTGAGAAGCTGGCTGCGGTCAAAAGTTCTGAGGGCACATCACAGGATGCCTCTGACAAAGTTTGAGCCTTCCATGCAACGACATGTGCATTTTGTGAATTCCCGGTAGTGTTGTCAATGTCACATTCTCTGAGGACACAGAAGTTACAAGACACCATCGAATTACCCCTCGCGGCCTTTTACTGTTTTTTTCATTGGTTCTCTTGCTTATCATCTGTAATCAGTTTGTAGTGCATGGCAACGGTGGTCCGAGAATGTGACATTTACTGATTTTAGGAAGTAAACCCTGCTTAACAACGTGTGATGTTTTTTTTCTTAGGACAAGCTAGTTGCATGCATTACCACAGTTTGTGGTGGTGCCCTTTTGCCCCTGGTAAAAAAAGCTTTTCTTTCCCTGCATGTTTTAAAGACCACTGGACGCTTTGCGTGAACAAAGTGATGTCAAATTGTCAGGAGTTGATTCTTTCAATTTGTTATCTGTCCTTTGATCTAACGTCACTGCATTTATTTCGCAAAAGATTTGCTTTCTTAGGTTATGTTTAGTTCAGCGCAAAGTTTGGATTTTGGTTGAAATTGGAGATGATGTGACTGAAAAGTTGTGTGTGTATGATAGGTTGATGTAATGGAAAAGGACTGAAGTTTGGATCCAAACTTGATAACAGCATTGCATCTGAGTATCTGACCATCTGTACATTTGCGAGGCCCGTACAGTTTAATTTCCGGAGGGATTGGTACGATGAAGTCAAGGTTTCAAAATGCGATGATAACCGTGAAATAATTGTGGTTATCGGCGTTATTAAGCTGATTCATATGGAAAAACTGCTTAGTAAACTGGCTATGTAAAAGAAAAAATAAAAGTTCAAACTGACATTTTGACAACTGCTAATATGTCCGTGCTGTGCAACGGGCTAGGTTTACATAACTAGAGGAAGAGAAATTAGTAAAGTACTAATAGATAGAGAAATTAATCTGAATTTCACCGGTTTTTTCAATAACGAATCAATAATTGGCGTTGTCATTAGCGGTAACCACTCTTTCGCACTAAGCCCAAGTAGGCCCATATTAACCCCAGTTAGCCCAAACAACCCTCTCCTACAGTCCTCCTACTACTCCTCTTCTGATCAAAATGCACCGAAATGGAAAAGAAAAGAAAAAGGACAAGAAAACCGAATTAAAAGAGAAAAATCTCGAAGCCTAAGCCGCCTCCCTCCTGTCCCCATCCGCCGCTCCGGCGCTCGATGCCTCCCTCCTCCGCCGCCCCCGCCACCGCCGCCGACGCAGCCACCTCGGAGCCCGTACGCGCCCCTACCCGCGCCGCAAACCCCGTCGTGCGGCGGCTCTGCCGCCTCGGGCGCTAGCCGCAGCAGGGGGGCGCCCTCCGACCGCCGGTGGTGGGGGCGTCGGCGATGCCGCCGGCTCGGAAGAAGCGCGGGGCGGCCGCGGCAGCGGCCGCGGCGGCCGCTGCGGCGCAGTGGAAGGTGGGCGACCTCGTGCTCGCCAAGATGAAGGGCTTCCCGGCGTGGCCGGCCATGGTGAGTGGGACTGATTGCTTGGTCTCTGATCTAGGGCTCTCTGTAATGGCTTTATGTAATTTCGGATTCGGAGATTTATGCTGTGAGTGAACTTACCACACCTCGTTGATTCGTGCTAAAAAAAACTGAGGTTTAGGTGCCTGCTTGATCTGATTTAGCTCCCCCAATTTTAATCTGTGGCTCTTAGTGAGGAGCGTGTTTAGGGTTCTGGGTACGATGAGTTTGGTGATAGGTAGCTCGTGATGTAAATATGTTTGATCTTTTCTTAAGTTCGCGATAATCCCGTGCTCATATTATGATTTCTTACTGCAATTTCATGTGTTTGTCATGTAAGTCAATCATTAATGCAGTTTAGATTCACCCTTTATGCTATTGGGGCTCCATAGACTTTTGGACTGGGTCAGATTCGGGCACCTTAGCTCTGGTCATTGGTACTGATACTGTGGTGTGAAATATAAAAAAAACTATACCTAAATAAATATAATCTCTTGTTTAATTCTAGTCATTCACTACTCTCTCCTTATGAATTCCTGCCTCTTGTACTCCTTATCTTACTCCCTTGCCTGTACATCACATGGTATATGTGCAAGGAACTTAAGCTGTTAGCTCAGAAGAAGGAAATGTTGGTAGTGGGCCTTGGCGCAGATACAAATGTCTTCCACTTGTATCACGCCCGAATGTGGTGCGAGCCTCATTCAGATATGGATCCAGTTTGGCTCCCTCAAATATGAAATATGGATCCAAATCGATTCATATCCCTTAACTGTAATACCAGATATCTTTTGATTGCTTCCATAACCTGTGTGTATATATAGCTCTGGATTCCATATTGGGATGTCTCCATAAATTATACTCCTCAACAGTTGCATCCTTGTAATGGTTATGCATGTGTGAGTTATGCCAGCGACTTATGATGTTCCTGTCTGCGTTGATGACAACATAGTTTAGAAACAACTGTGTGATCGCTAGGCCATCATTATGCTTTGAGGTGTAATAACCTTTCGCTGTTGTTGAGTTGTTGACATTTGTGTTAAAGTTTCTCAGAACACAGTTTAGCTTCCTGGTATTTTGAGCCTTCGGTATCGTAGTGGGTTACTGAAGTTCTGTAGGGCTTTCTTGTGCTCCATGGATACATCCATAGGATTTGGAAACTCTGAATACTTTCTACTGTAAGTTGCACTTATCTTTGATCAATTGATGCATTGAATATTAAGTTCATTCAGCATTGTGGTTTGTACATGAACATCCTGGCTGGTTAGGTGTAGTTGGTGCCATTGATCTTCTCTCTGTGGGACAGAAGGACAAGAGACTTATGATAAGTTCGTTTTTTTATCTAGATTAGGCTCCTTGAGGATCAATGACTAAGCTTGGTTGCGTAATGTTTTTTCATGATGGGCCTCGTTAAAATTCTGAGGGTACCTACTTATTAGTTTGGATTAGTATGTCCAACATATCGTTCTTGCCTGTTGCTAATTCCTGATGTTCATCTGTTGTCCTAAATTTTGCTTCAAGATGTTTGTGTGCCATGCTTTATAGAAAACAACTTGAGTTTCTCCTGCTCTTCAGTTGTGAGGCGTTTGCTTATTTATTGTGCAACCGTTACTTTTCATGTACCTCCTTTCTCGGAGAAAGTTCCATGGTGTAAAATTGGTGAACTTGCTGTTAGCAAGTCCTAAAACTGTTAGACAACACCTGTCCCCTGTTTTAGCTTTTGTGATGGTGTCTCCACATGATACTTTATGAATCATATCCTTGCATTCAACTATTCTTATTTCAGAGAGTAATTCGTCTATTCTTTTTGGTGGTATTTCACTTTTGACTTTTGCCATTAAGCTAGGGTCTGTAGCATGAAGCTGCTCTATAACTTTTATGCTTTCCATTTCTATTTTTAGCATTCCTATGTCTGGTTTGTTTACAAGGATTTGCGGTTTCTTCAGAGCATGTGTTAGTTGTTTCAATCATGAGCACTTCAATTCATGAATATCCACACTGTTACAGATAAGTGAGCCAGAGAAATGGGGCCTTTCTTCAGCTAAAAAGAAGCTGCTGGTCTACTTTTATGGAACTAAACAGATGTGAGTATTTATTTGAATTTAACTGTATTGCATTTACATTGTTTTATGGATGGCTTGATGCGTTCTTTTTGCTGCATGCATCATGTTACCTTCTCTTATCACGAGCACAAATAGCATCTAGTGTTAGTGTCTTCTATTTGCATTTTTTTTATGTGATTCACCATAATTTATGTAGGTATGTCAGATATTTCTTGTCACAGTGATCACTTGAGGGAACCATGATCTTATTGTATACCCCAGGCATTCGATTGTCTGCTATTGTGATAGCTATGATCTGACTAATCAGATGCCTGTTCATTAGTAATTTAATATGCAGTTTGGAATATCTATGCGCTAATCTAATCAAATACTCGTTCTAGTAATTAGGCAGTGCTATGTGCATTAGAATTTTTTTATTAAGCATTATAACATAGGCATACTAAAGTAGATCCAGGTGGTGGGAGGTCTACTTATATTATTTCATGAACGCATACTATCATTTCTGTGGATGTGGTCCCCACATTCAACAGCTTATTCTTGATAATGCACTAGGGCTGTGTTCTTTACCCTATCTTCCCAACTTCTACTCTCTGGTTTTCCGCACGCTTCCCAAACTGCTAAACAGTGTATTGTTTGCAAAAAAAAAAACTATATGAAAGTTGCTTTAGAAAAATAATATTAATCCATTTTTCAAGCTTTTTAGCTAAAAATTAATTAATCATGTGCTAATTTGCTGCTCCTTTTTGCGTGCTTGAAGGGTTAGTTCCCAACCCACTATAACGAACACAGCCTAAATCTCTAACACAGAATATATAACACTTGTATCTGACATAAGTTCTTAATATTCCAGTGCTTTCTGCAACTATACTGACCTTGAGGCATTCACTGAAGAGAAAAGAAAATCTCTTCTTGCTAAGCGACATGGCAAAGGAGCAGATTTTGTTCGAGCAGTTAAGGAAATTGTGGAGATTTATGATTCTTTGAAGAATGAGAATAATAATAAGAGTGATACGTCTGGAACAGATGTGAAGCCAGATGTTGAAGATGCTGCCCACAATAGCAATTCTGACCGTGGAGGTCGTGGGGAAGGTTCTGATTTGGTCAATGATAACAAGCAAGACAGTCGACCTACATCTTCCATGGATCACAATGTGACCAAAAGCCCTGGCTCAAATATTCCCGCAGTGGAGAGTGGCCGCTGTGTTGTGAATTCTGCACCTGACGAGCCTTCTAGTTCATTCTCAAAGAAGAGTCAAAATGATGTTCAGCAAAATATTTCTTGCGCCCTTGGTAATCTTACATCTCCACGGAAGTTGAGAAGTTCATTAGGTGCTGATCTACGACCAACAGAGGATTCTTGTGGGCCAATGAATAGTATTAATCAACCATGTGTTAATGTGATCTCTGATAACAAGCAGGTGCATTCTTTTCAGCATACATGCATCGGTGACAACAAATCAAACTCAGATTCTCTTCCAGCTAGAGAGGATTCCAGTCAAGGTACCTGCAGTAAACCTGAAGATTCTACAGTGGTTGTTGATGATGAAAGTTTGAATTCTATTGATGATGTACAAGATATTCATCATATTGAGGCATCTAAAACAGAAGTCAAACAGAATGGAACAATCGATTCCATGAGCACTACTGTCACTTTCAAGAGAAAAAGAAAGCCGCACACAAATCACATTAGTAATCCTATTATTAGTGTGGCACCAAAAACAGATGAAGAATTGCAGCCCAAGTCTAGTGGAAATCTCGCAGATTCCCCGAATTCAGGGAATGAAGTCAACAAGTCAGATGGAGACGAACACTTACCATTGGTCAAAAGGGCAAGGGTCCGTATGGGAAGAGCTCTTCTGGAGGACACAATAGTTGATGAGTGTGTTATTTCTGATAACAAAACAGAGCTGGCTACACATGAAAATAGATGTGATAAACATGACTTGTATGCAGGACTAGGGAAGGATCATTCAGCTGACATGCCCCCTAGCATGGATCCTTCATCCAAAATAGACTTGATTATGCCATCAGGAGATGCTCAGACTGCTTGCAAGAATAAAGAATACCATCCAAAGGTTTTGTCATTGGATGGCGAAGCTGCTTTGCCTCCGTCTAAACGCCTTCATCGTGCCTTAGAAGCTATGTCTGCTAATGCAACTGAAACTATCTGTAGCTCTCTCGAAGTGCAAAAATCGGAGTCAATCCTGAAAGTGAAAGGTTGTGCAGCTTCAGGAGCAAGTTCCCCTTCCAATAACTCTCTGGATGCAATTGCCAAAGTTTCAAGATCTGTAATGACTAAAAGTCCTACTATTTCTTCAAGTGGACATTCTTTAGATACCCCAGATGGCGAAAAGCATATCTTACTTAAGGATATCCCCTCTACTATTCCTTTGGATTTGAAAAATGCTTGCAGTCAAAATTCACTAAAAGAGAAAGTTGTTGAAGAACTCCACATGGATGACAAAAACATCACGCTGACTGTTTGTAGTAGGGCTGATAACAATGTCTGTGGAAAAGCTCCAACCTATTCCATGGAGTCGAAAGCTAGTGGGAATGAATCCATGGAACCAAATGGTGACCCTGCTCATGATTTTGTCAAAAACGTTAATGGGTCTGCTGAACCAGTTAGCCAAGCAAATGTTGTTCCAAGCTCCAATGGAAACTATAATTCTGTGCCACATGATGATATTCGTTTGGCTAAACCAACTGTTATTGTGTCTGACAGGACAAGTGCATCTTCTTTGGTCACTAAAATTTCATGTATTCAATCGGATGCAAGTTCCCAGACATTTGAACCGTAAGCCTTATATTTTCTGTCAAAGCAAATGCTCCATTTCTTTGTTATAATTTTGCTGTACCTAGACTTGTTGCATACCTTCACATAATTAACTAATTGAAGCGATCTTATCAGTGGTGTATTCTCTCAATTTAGCCATGTTCTTATCTATTACATGTCAGCATATATTCTTCCCTGTAGTACTAGCACTATTTACTTTGTGATATATTTTTCTGTAGTGCAAAGTTGGCTTAATGTGTTGGTTTTGAACTGTATCTTTTGGTACATAATGCAGAAGTACGATTGAAGATCATCTGCACTTTCTTTGGTACCAAAGAGGGAGTGGGACTGTAGGTTTAGAACTTGATACATAGCTAGATCTCACCCATGTGGTATGGGTTGTTTGCTTTCTTTATAATTATGGCATTAAGGCAAAGTTTACTTTTTTTTTTCTGGAAAACTTGGACTAATCTGGTTTCCATTTTTTTTTTTTGCCAATAAGTCCTAAGGTAGTCATTGTCTTTCAGTTCTTCTATATCTCAAACCAAAACCTGGCTAATCTTTCTGAACAAAATTTGGCATTGCCAATTTTGGCAAGGGGTGATTTTTGCCACCAACCAAACATACATTTTCTATCTTTGTAGTTAAATTATCTGCTTATATCACGTAGCAATGCTATCTACTTATGTAATCTGGATGGACATATTCAATTGTACTGGGATTAGGAACATGTGAGTAATTAATTCTTTTCCAAGTATTAAAATTTTCAAGGGAACATGGCCACATGGTAAAGACACTACTGTCAAGGGATATAAAAACTCTTCCTTTAGTCCTGTTGTGGACCATAAGTCATATGATTGGCCATATTATAAAATCATTTTTTCTTCATTGTCCTTTAAAACTTTTCTTTGTTTTTGTCTTCTCAAGTTTCATGTTAATCATGCTGGCATACTTAATAATAGCTTCGTTATTTCAGGCACGGTTCTTCAGCAATCGCACTGAAAGAACACAACCACAGAATGTACCCAAAGGGTAAGAGTCTATCTCCAGACATGATGCCTATGAAAGAACTAATTGCTGCTGCTCATACTCGAAGATTCTCGCATTCAAGTTCTTTCATAGACAGTTTTCTCTGCTCCAATGGTGTTCCTGAACCTTCGGTGAATGTACCTTCACTCAAGGAAGGGTCAAGTGGTCAATGTTCACCTTCCAATCATACAATAAGGTTCGCAGCAGATAGGATTCATACTCAACAAAATAGTGGTGCAATTCCTTTTGATAATATGCAACAGAAGGGCTTGAACAAATTATCAGGTCACGATGAAGCTAGTTCAGCACGGAGGGCCTTTGAAGCTTTCCTTGGTTCCTTAACAAGAACAAAAGAAAGTATAGGCCGTGCAACACGTCTTGCTCTGGAATGTGATAAGCAAGGCATTGCTGGTGAGGTTAGACCATGCACATACTTATTCATTCTTAACTTTTCATTGCAGGCATATTGCTCTGGTCTTGATTATATTGGCTTTTATGTGTTTGCACATGTTTTCCATTTTTTACAACCATCATTGCTAGATTATAAATTGTACTGTTGGTAGCTTCCTTTGGTCCATGAAATATGAATAGAATGATTCATCTGCCACCACTTTTCATTTTTATGGTGCTATCTTTGGTTCGTAGTTTTCTACCATGTGGATGCACTTTTTTTTCTTATTTTGAAGATCCACTCTGTTCATTGGAATGGATCTCCGTACCGCACTCTTCTAATGTGGCACAACAAACTATGTACAAAACAGATGTTTTAAATTTTTAAATGGCGTGTCCTATTTCACATCTGCTTCAGTAGATCCTAAATTTGAGAATTTTGTTCAACAAGGATCATCACTTGCAGATTTGCTTCATTCAACCTTACAAGTAAAAAAATATGCTATTTGTGGCATTGAGCTGATCAGTGTGGTTGTAATTGTGCTTATTTGTCCACCTGCTTTTGTTTGATAATCAGGTAATGGATATCATCATCGAACACCTGGAAAAAGAATCTAATTTGTATAAAAGGGTGGACCTGTTCTTCCTTGTCGATTCAATAATACAATGCTGTCGCAACCAGAAAGGTGTCCACATCATTTTTGCATATTTTTCTTTGTATTTTGAATGCCCAGGGTTTTCAAGCTACTTCTATATATCTTATAGGTGGAGTTGGCAATGCCTTTCCTTCACTTATCCAAGCAGTCCTACCCCGGATACTATATGCTTCTGCACCTCCTGGGAATTCTGCATGGGAGAATCGAAGGCAATGTCTTAAGGCAAGTGGTTTCAGAGCCTGGCTTACAAGTTTACAACAAAGATGATAATTTTAATCTTTTTTCAGCTTTGTTCAAATGCTGACGTGTTTCTGTTACTAGGTTTTGAAGCTCTGGCTTGACAGGAAAACCCTTTCAGAATACATCATTCGCCATCACATTAAAGAGCTTGAAGCTCTCAATGAGGCATCATTTGGAACCTCTCGTCGTCCATCAGGGACAGAAAGAGCTCTGAATGACCCTCTGCGGGATAACGAGGGAATGCTTGTCGATGAGTATGGAAGGTACATCTCTATTGCCCATTTCAAGAAACTGTTTCTATGACTCCATGCTTTGCTGGGGGGTGTTCCTTGGTTCCGTGGTCCTGTTGCATGTACTGAAATTATTTTGCATACCTTTTTTGCTTACTTGTATCATGCATGTGGATTCATTTTGTTTCTTTCATAAGTATGGAAAAACAAAAATTATAAATTTTTAAGTGATCATTCTAATTGGCCTTTTGGATCATTTGCTGTTTGCGTGTGCAACTTTGAGCTGTAGTTGTTTGTTGGGACCATTTGAGATGCTGTGGATTAGCATGAATGTATGGTGGGCAGATGACAGAAAAAACTCGGTACACATATATGGATATCAATACTACAAAATCTGGCAGAGAATGTAAAAAATATCAAGCATATGAAATATCTCATTAAGGGCATTACAGTTGTGCATAGAGTGGTGAAAATTAGTAAATGGACAATAGCATAACAAACTGAAGGTTAGAAAACTTAAAAAGTGAAAATTTGTTTGTCAGACACCAATTTGGTTTGCCTTTCAGCTTTCAGGTGTGTTCTCATTTTGTATGGGTAACTAACCTCATTTGTGCATGCTGAACTGTCTCTATCATCTTTCTGTACTTAGTTATATGTTTAGTACTAATTCATGTTTATATGAATGATTATTCTTCACAGCAACACTGGTTTTCATCTTCCAAATTTGATTGGCACAAAACTACTTGAAGATGAGGAAGGAAGCTCCTCTGAGGAGAGGAGCTTTGAAGCTGTTACCCCTGAACATGAAGCTACAGGTGCTAATGAGCAAGAAGCATCTCAAATGCATGTGGCGAAGCATCGACTTGTCCTGGAAGAAGTAGATGGTGACCATGAAATGGAGGATTTAGCCCCATCCTCAGAAGCAGAAGGGGAAGCTATCTCCTCATGCCAACCAGATTTAACTGTTGCTAGGTGTGCAACGACCAAGCAAAATGTTGATTCAGTTCCACCCTTACCTGATGACAAACCACCTTCTCCTCCTCCATTGCCATCATCTCCACCACCTTTGCCACGTCCACCCTGTCCTGTTTTTCAAGATTCGCAGGTGCAAGGAGCATTGGCAGCTGATCGAGTTCAACCAGATCCTCCAAGAACTACCTATGTATGTAGTTATAATGTCAGTGCAGGAAGGCCATTATGAAATTTCATATACTGTGAATCTAAAATGTGTTTAATTGTTCTTTGCAGAATATTCAAGAGCAACACCCTCATTCTGTTGCAAACAATAGAAGCAACATGGATCCTTGTGTAGTTTCATCACATCCTCCAGCGCCCTACAATTGTGGGTACGCTGGGCATGCAAATCAGATGCCTCTGCCACCTCCACCACCACCACCGCTGCCGCCGCCGCCTCCTGTTGCACCATTTCATCCTCCTGGACCCCATTTTTCTGGGCCGTCAGTACCACCACATCATGGAAATAATTATCACCAACCACCATCTGTGCCGCCACCTAATAATGCATATCACTTGCAGCCACCACCACATCCACCATTTCCAAATCAGTACCCATACCCTCCCGAACCCCAACAAAACACACAACCTTGGAATTGCAATCCGTCCTATCCTGAGAGGCATCAATACGGTGAGCATGACAGAGGACCCCATGCATATGATAGCCGACATCACTTTCATCATAGAGGGCATCACTTTGATGACGGAGGGCATTATTTTGATGATGGAGCACATCATTTTGATGATAGAGGGCATCCCTTCGATGATAGAGGGAATTACTTCGATGATAGAGGACATCACTTTGATGAAAGAGCAATTAGGGGACAAATGCACCATGAAGTTGATAGAGGAAGATTTCCCCCACACTTCCCTCCAGGTATGTTGAAGTATTGTGCCTAACTGTCTACATATATTTATGAGGGTTGTTTTAAACTAACTGCCTGTGTGTCTATATTAGGATTTCTGCCGAAATACAATCAGTCACATGTTTTTTCATCAATTAGACTTTTATGGTGAACAAACCTTTGTTGTCAATGGTATACAGGCCCCCCATTTCCAGACCATTTTGATGGTCCGTCCACCCCATTTCATTGTAGGCAACCATCGAATCCTCCAACAGGGCCAGGCCCTGGGTGGTCAATGCCTCCTAGGAGATTTAAGTACCCTCCTGGCCCTAGACACTCGATGGACCATCCAGTTCCCCATGAAGGAGGTATGGTATTTCATATTTTGTTGTGCTCTTAAAGAAGTCATATTTCTTTTACCTTCACCACTACTTCATGATCCCAACACTTTGTTCTGCATGTTGTGTCCTGTCAAGAATACCAGTTTTTGTTTCGAGTTCTAGCAACTCTGCATGGCGATTGTGTTAACCATCCTTGTGATATCAGGTTGGAGGAGGAATGGAAGACACAATCATGATAAACACCCTAGATGACTGGGAGCAGAGGAGCTTTCCACCTCATTTACCTCAGAACTGTTGCCGAGCCTCAGCTGCGGTACCTCTCGATAATAAACCTTTTAAGCAATCTCCTTTGCATATTTTTTCCCCCAATGTTCCCCTTTCATGATGATGCGGTAATTTTCAACTTATACTCTCATAATGGCAGAGTGGCAATATATTTCGTTACTGGAGCTCGGATAATCGCTGACAATATTTAATGGTACACAGTTTATTTTATTTCTTCAGAAATCATAGCTTCAGTTGCTTGGTGCGTTTATCTGTTTGTATTATGTTCATCTGACTCATGGCATGCATTGTTTTCCAGGCTATATAATTTTGATCTGGTCTTTTCTCGTTTTTGAGCCGTGAAGAGTCCTTCAATGTCTCCGTTCATGTGCGGGCTTACCATGAAATCTCCTTGACAAAAGAGATGGAACCGGCCCCACTGTACATATGTATCTTAGTTCTTAGCACTGTTCTGCAAATGCAGAAACGGGAGGGAGTTCAATTGTGGGGAAGAGATGTCCTGTATCAGTTTAGTTACCCATAGATTATGTCGTTAGCCTAGCGGTTTACCGTCTCATTGGCAATGTCTTTGGTATTTAAATGTTCAATTTGTAATCCAAATGTTAATTTAAATACATTAAACTGAACTGATTAGGGTTACACATGATCGAAGAACAGAGGTTTGGAATTTTTGGATTGATAGTTTCATTTGTTGAGTGCTAATTTTCAAGAGGAACGCACTGCAAAATTTTCAAGAGGAATAAGGAAAGGTAGGAAAATGTAGTGAAGGTTGTCTTATTGCATTGCAAGTAATGAATTGTCATACACTACTACAGCTTTCAAGATTAGTATAGAGGCTTAGTTACAAATTGTATCGACATGCCTAATCTTAGAATATAAGGGAAAAAAGCGGTTATTTCCATGTCTCAATTCTTGTGTTCATCTAATTTTTGTCTCGGGTGCAAAACCAGCTAAAACCTACCAGTACTTGCCATTTCTCAAAACTAGTTCTGTTTTGTACGTAGACGGTGGTTTTGGGTGATGGGGTGGGGCCGTGGGGGTCATGATCGGGCGGTCTATTTGGTTGGAGGGAGTTTTTAGGAGGGATTGGGAGTTTAGAGGGATGAGGCTATTAACTGTTTTGTTTGGTTGGGGGACATGTGAATTTTGGTGGGATGGGGATGGGTAATTGAGGAATAAACTCCCTCCTTTTCAATACCTGAGTAGGGGCAGGTAATTGGGAGGGAATTCCTCCTTTACTTCGCCTAAACAAATCTCAGCCATCCGTTTTCATTAATGATCTAATCTTCAACTAAACTCCCTATCAATTTCTACCACCTCTACCAAACAAGAGACTAGGATGAAAAATCAAATTCCCATCTTAATCTCACCATCAATTCCCTCGTGTAAACTCTCAATCCCCTTCCCTCAAGTTGCCAAATAAGCCGGAGGTGCTTTGTTTCTACAGAGGCAGGGGATGGTTGGAGTGTGCACTTGTCCCGTTCGAATTGGATTAGTCACTAGCGTAGGATTAATTAAGTTTTAATTATTATAAACTTAAAAATTAAATTTATAAGGCCCCATTACTTTTTATTAAGATTTAGATTCTACCACGGTATTTGTTAGTAAGCTTTTGAAATGAGGTGTTCAATTCACGAATGAGGGGTTCAGTTGACGAATAAAGAAAAGCTACGATGGGGAATACAATTGCTAAAGCAGTTCACAAATGAGGTGTTCAATTCACGACATGGATGGCAAACATCGCGTTTTGTGCGAAAATTTTCTTATACAAGTCTCTAAAATATTAAATAAATCCAAATTTCAAGTTATTACTTCTATTGTAAAATATACTAGCAATATAATACTTATTAGATACCAACTAGCATAGGACTCAAATCTAGACATAGATTTCTCCATATTCATACTTTGTAGTACTAGGTGGTGCTAATCACGTACTAGATTGTTATTTTTTAGGTGGTGCTAATCTGGTACTATATTGCTATATTTTGACATGGAACTAGGGAATATTTGGCAACTCCCAATGGTACAAGATAGTGAGAGCTTTGGGCAAATATATAGAGGCGTTACAATTTATCCTACCAAAAATTAATTATACTAAAGCAAGTCCAAAAATAGGCACCACAAAAATTTGGCATAGCTTTAAATCAAAATGGCCCTTTAAGTTGTTGGCAACGCAATTTCAACCTAAGAATAAGATGGGAAATATGGGTGGTGGGTGTCTGTTTGGCTCACTTGTCTATTTGTGTTGTCAATTGTGGTTGTTCATTTATATATACCGTTGACGGACTATACTCATCTACGGTATTTGTGAAGTATGGAGATCCTTAATTCGCAAATATACGTGAGATTGCAGTAAAGAAGATGAAGACAGGGGATTTTTATATTGGTTTAGGCCCTGAGATCGGTAATAGTCCTAATCTAGTTAATATGTATAACTATGGGATGTCTCTCACGGGTTACAATGGTGGAGCAAGCTAGCTAATCTAGCTTACCATCTAGTACTCACTGAGAACTATCCGATTACTTATAGTCAGTGACTAACAATGGACTTTCTTTAGATGAATCTACGATACGGCTTGTGGCTATGGCTTGATTTGATGTCCTCACCTCCCAGGGAGCATTATATTTACACGGGTAAGCAACTTCCTTTTCAAGTAGAACTCGGAGAGTCTTTGTAGGGCACGGGCAAATAAGACTATGCCTTTCATGGGTCGGACTCCGACAACCTCTATCCCCGTGCAAGGAGTTTCTGTTCGTATGTTCTTATGTACCATATTTGGGTATACCTTCCATCCAAACTGAATCTGGGCATGCCTCTTATCTAGATTTGTAGTATCACGATATGTCCCATTCAGTTCTAGGTTTACGTAGTATATTTTAAGACAGGGTAGTAATTTCTATTTCAATACCGTATAATTGTAGACTTCAGCATATATTATGAAAATAGTCTTATCTACAAGTGATAAGAAAAGGTGCTAATATTCTATTTCAATACGGTGTACTGTTTGTGGTATTTTCTAAATTATCTCTATGTATAAGTGGTAACAATAGCGAAAATTTAGTAGGGTTTTAAATCAATATAGCTAAACTAACCATATTATCCTCCCCTGGTTTAATGCCAATATATGCAGCCAGTTGAACACCTACCAAATCTGTCACTCTGTAAAACGCCACCCTGCAGATGCCAGCACAGGCAAGTGTAAACGCGCTTTGGCCTAATCACCGGATAAATTCTGCACCCATGTACCAATCGTCTCAATGCGAGAGAGATTCTTCTCCTCAAGATTCGTGTCCAAAATGCAGCCATCTCGCCATGATCAGCTCCTCCTCCTCCCGCTGCTGCTGCTGCTCGGGGTGTTCATCGCGACGAGCTCCGCGGCGGCGCCGGTGTCGAGGACGATCACCGTCGATCACCAAGGCGGCGGCGACTTCACGCTCGTCCAGTCGGCGGTGAACTCCGTGCCCGACGGCAACCGCGACTGGATCAAAATCCATGTCAATGCAGGAAGCTACGAGTACGTATCCAAACTGCTAATCCTTTTTTCTCCTTCAAGAAGTTTCAAACTGTCAATCTGATATGCCATTTCAAGGAATGTTTGGATTCATTTCAAAAGAAAGAAAGAAAAGATCAACAAGAATGTTTGGATTTTCGAGAGTTTTTTTGTTGGTGAGTGTTTGTGTTCGTGTGTGTGTGCATGGATTGCAGGGAGAAGGTTACCATCCCGAGTCAGAAACAATTCATAGTGCTGGAAGGGGATGGGTCTTGGAATACCGAGATCACCTTTGCCGGTCACGCTCACGCCAGCATCGACGAGCTGTTGAACCACGGCTACAGCGACGTCGGCGGCTCGGCGACGTTCGACAGCTCCACCTTCATCGTCCTCGCCGACAACTTCGTCGCTCGCAGCATCTCCTTCAGGGTACATATGCATATGTTAAAATATACGTGTTGAGAACAACGTATAGCTCGGCTGGTAGAGTGCTGCTAGGAATATCCCGTAGGTTTTTTCCCCTATCAATAATAGAAGTGCGTGTCTAGTTTGGTGTGTCATATCTGTACGTATGTGTCTTTCGTGTAAAATAAAAAAAAATAAAGGCTTTGGTTAGAGCAAGGTCAATAGTACAGCCAACTACTAGCTCCAATTCTTCTATAGCCAATTTAACAGCCAATTCATACAATAGTTGTTTACTATACTATTAGCATATGGTCCCACTGTCATATACACATTGCGTCTTGGAGTCCGTGCTGTAGCTGGCTACAGAGTTGTAGCCCGCTGCTCTTCTCTCTCATCTTTTATCTTATTAAAATATATTTGCAACTGGCTTATAGTGCTATTGTACTTGCTCTTATGCGGCTCACTAGATCTAGTACAATAATTATGTAGTTCATATTATTTTAGTATGTCGTAGAAATTTGGAATATTTAAGGAAAAAGTATTCTCAATACTACTCGATGCCATTTCAGTGTTACGAATTTAGGAAAGTACTAATTACCAGAAACAAAGTACTTACTCTATTCTAAAATATAACAATATTTAACTACTGGACAATTTGTCTAGATACATTGTTCATATTTATAGTTTAAAACTGTTACATTTTGACACGAAGTTAGTACCTTGCTTCTATATTTGGCTCCGAGTTACTGAGTATGACACTGGCTTGCATTGCACTGCATACATACATGATGGTAGAACACTTATAACAAGTACGACAAGAGCAAGCCCGTCCAGGCGGTTGCGGCGCTCATCGGCGGCGACCGGAGCGCCTTCTACGACTGCGCTTTCTACGGTTTCCAGGTAGGGATGATAATGGGCCTAACATTTTAGCCTAGAAAATGTTAGGGTTGGATAAAAAAAGGTTAGACTGAAATTCAATAGTTTTTTTACTTAAATAAGTTAAGATGGCTTGTGAAAGAACCCACGGACCTGACCCATTACCACCCCTCCAGGACACGCTGTGCGACCTCAAGGGCCGCCACTACTTCCACCACTGCTACGTCAGGGGCGGCGTCGACTTCATCTTCGGCTACGGGCAGTCCATCTACGACAACTGCACGCTGGAGTCCAACATGCCGCCGCCGCCGTCGCCGCAGCAGCCGGGGTGGGTGACGGCGCACGCCCGGGTCACCGACGCCGACCCCGGTGGGCTGGTGTTCAAGGGCGGCTCGCTGCTGGGCTCCGGGCAGCAGTACCTCGGGCGCGCGTGGAACCAGTTCGCCACCGTGGTGTTCTACCAGGTGTCCATGACCAACATCGTCGTGCCCCAAGGATGGCAGCCCTGGAACTCCCCCAATGTGTAAGAAACTTTTTTTTGTTTTGTTTTAAGATGATTATGTTCATTGAAAGAGCTAATGCGCCAACGTTCGCGTGTCTTGGTCATGTGCAAATGACTGTGTTTTTCTTTTTGGCATCCGTTTCGTTTTCTGATAAGTTTATATACCCACAGTTTATATATTCGATTCTGATTTTTTATATATAATTTTTCATTAATTAAAAGTTTCCACATATAAAGTTTATATGTATTTTCTATGCATAAACTTTATCTATTTTTTTATGGGCTAGACACACATTGGTTCCGCCAAACATGTTCGTATGTCTAGGTTGGGCACGAACACTCTCACATTAAACCTACACCACGCACATATATCATTACACTCATACTATTATAAATAGTACACCACTTATGTATGCTCAAATATAACTGCTTGTACATGCATGCATATCACTTTGCTTAGGCAATTAGGCTCCACGAAGGATTTAAATAAATGATTGGACATAAATCCTTAAGTAGCATATATTTATATATATATATATATATATATATATATACGAAAAAGTACATACATGATATATTTCCTTAATATTAACCTTAGGGATCTTCCAGTTGGAAATACTTTTCTCAATATCCTCAAAAGATATAGATGAAGCATTCTTTATCGACGTAGTGCCAACAGACTACAGATTGATCAGTGGCTCTTCGTGATCTAACCAACCAAGACATCTTATATGAAAGATAGGAAGATAGGTAGGTAGTTACCAGTCAACAGCGGGGAAATCTCCCACAATTATGATCAACCTATTTGGATATGATGTATTCCAGTCAACGGCAGGGAATATTTCCCACAATTAAGTTCAACCTTTGCCTTTGATAAGTGCCCAGTCAACGAATTATGCCGATAAACGCCTTCTGCGGCTCAACAAGGCAACACGACTTCGGGCAACCGATCAAAGGTTCGGGAACTCCGCGACTTCAGAACACAACCACACCGTTCGGGATCACCGCGACTTCAGCACGCCACCCGACCCCTCTTCCCCCCCCTCCCCTTTCGGAGAAGATGGCTTGGGGAGGTTACGAGCACTTGGCTCTGATACCAGCTCTAACCCAGGGCAGTGACTAGGGGTCTAGTCACCAGATATGAGGATAGAAATGCTTATCTATATGCAATCTTGGATGTGAGATTAGTATGTGACAATTGGATGGCAATCCAGGTTGTTAATTTTTTTTATATTATTATGCAAACATAAATGCAGTACAGGAAATAAAGACAAGCTGTAAATACGAATTATGTACAAGATATAAAATTAGATATTTAGAACATAGTAGGTTTATATAGAACGGTCCAGGTGTTTATTCATATACCTTGATAGGTTGAAGGTAGATCCTTCTGAAGATTACACCAAGGACTTGGTACAACACGTTCGTAATTATACAGGTACAGGACTCTCACAAGGACTCTTACATAGACTCTCACACTTAGACTCTCATGAGTCTTTTATTTAGGTTATACTATAGTACTAACACTTAGATGGAGTGGAGTGGAGTGTGATGGCTGGTGGAGCGGTGAGAGGAATGGTTGAGTGAGATGTGTTGTGTGTGGAATGCGATGCCTCTGAAATGTGATAGTGAGCCCCTTATATAGCGCTCGGTAGAGAATCTTCATTATATCTCTTTTTGACTTCAAAGAGTTCATGATATCCCTTTAGACTTCATGGAGAGAATCTTTGATGACGCTTTTGACCTTCAATAAAGATGTCATAATATCGCCTTTTGACCATAAACTTATCTTATCTGGAATAGTGTAGATTCCTTATCTTGAATAGTGATCTTTGTCGGGGATGACAAGATCTTTACTCATTATCTTGGTGACAAGATCTGTCGTCATATCTTGGCTAAATGTGTGTTGGATTGAAATCTGATATTCCTTCATCTGAATCATTATCTTGCTTAATTGAGTAATAAGGAGGTATTGGCGAAGATGGCTTAATTTGGCTGCATTGTACCATATCTTCATCTAGACTTTTGCATGTAGAACTAGATTTTAGTGATTCTTCCAATCTTTTAAACGTAGTTTCATATACTTGAAGTTGCAATTCTCCCTTTGTCAACTCGGGTCTTGCCTTTAATAATTCTCTTGTTATATCTTCTTTTAATTGAGCCACATGAGATTTCTTGTTTTTGGCTCGAAACTTTCTTCCTTCAATTACTGGTGTGATTGCAAACTTATCCCACCATCTTGCATAATAGTTTCGCTTTAAGGTTGCTGGGAACTCCATTCTTTGAATATTGAGGTCCCATTTTAGTATCCAAGGCATCCCTGTTTCGGCACAAAATTGCATAAGGATAAAAGGATATTCCTTGAGATCCTTTTTTGATTCTTGTGTAATAACTTTGATGATTTCTTGTGGTAGGATTTCAGGAATGGCCCCTGCTTTCAGCCACCAATTACTGAAAAACCACAGCGGTATCTCCTCACATCCTTCTTTGAAGCGAATAAACCATGAATGCTTCATCTGGGAATTTTGTACGAGGAGTACTTTTTCCCAGGCCTTCTGATAATCCCAATAGTTATATCTTTTATTTGTACAGGATGTAGAATATATAGTCCTGGCTACATAAGGATTTGATGATTTATCCCAATCATCGATACTTATATTTTTTTGGATCAATAATTTTGTGAATCCCAAATCATCACCATTCCTTGTATGGAATATCTGTGCACTTCTTGTCTCGCATAATATGGTCTCATAATAATTTTGATCTTTCCCTGGATATTCAGGGATAAAATATTGGTGTTGTGGGAAATACTTTCCCATAATCTTGATAATATTGAGATCAGAGTCTCCAAATTCTAATGGCAGAATTACCTCATCTATATTGAGGATATAAGATGAATTATTCCCATACTTTTCTTGAACTGTAGGGGTTCTAGGAATGATATTTCCTAGTTCATTATATTTATGCTTATTTGGTGAACTTTCTGTAGTTCTCCCTTGGGCTGATAAGTCTCTTTTAGGTGCCATAGCCCTGTAAAAATTCACGAGATAAGAAATCTGGTAGGGAGTTTAATTCTCCCTTGATATATTCTATTTCAAAGTCAAAGCATGATAATATTGCTTGCCATCTGGCAAAGATTTGTTTGGAGACTAAGTTCTCCACATCCTTTTGGAGGACATCTTTTGCTGCTTTACAATCTATACGCAGCAAGAATCTTTGATTCAATAATTCTCCTTGGAATTTTGATATGACCTTTACTATGGCCAATATTTCTTTTTTGATGGTTGAATAATTTTTTTGAGCCTCATTTCAGGTCCCAGAGGTGAACCTGACTAGCTGCTCTTTGGAATTCTTTTTTTGTTTAAGAATTCCTCCATAACCATGATCTGAGGCATCTGATTCGATAATTTTGAAGGCATCTTGATCTAGAATATAAAGACAGGGCAAGGTTTTGACCTTACCTTTGATCTTTTTAACAGCTTGAGTATGTTTAGCTGTCCAAGCTGGAGGCTTTTTCTTTAACCTCTCGGTTAAAATCTTTCTGTCTTTTGCAAGATCTTTATAAAAATCGGAGACATAGTTTAAACACCCTATAAATCTTTGCAACTGTGTTTTATCTTTTATCTCATCCGGAAATTTTTCTGCAAATTCTATTACTCTTGCTACTGGTTGGACTTGATCATATTGAATTTTATAACCGAGAAACTGAACATTAGTTTGGAAAAGTTTCATTTTCTTAGCAGAGACTACTAAACCGTTTTGAACTATAATTTTATAAAATATATTAAGGTGTTTCCAATGTTGGTCAACATCTTGGGAAAATATTAAAACATCATCTATATAAACTATAATGAAGGATGTAAAGGGAAGGAAAATCTCATTCATTATTTTTTGGAACTCAGAAGGAGCATTTTTTAAACCAAACGGCATTATGTTCCACTCATAATGACCAAAAGGAGTAGTAAAGGCAGTTTTATATCTATCCTCTTCTTTTATTTGGATTTGCCAAAACCCAGACTTCATATCAAATTTAGAATATATCTTTGAACCCTGAATCCTTCGTATTAAGTCATGCTTATAAGGTATTGGATACCTATATATATATATATATATATATATATATATATATATATATATATATGTAACGTAGAGGTTGCACTAAATTCCATTAGGGCATGTACAAAGGTAGAGTCGGATATAAGCTCTGCGTTATTTAGAGACTAGCATCCTACAACAGTTAGAGACAATATGGTCTCTAATCATTTATGTATTAAAATACTTTTTCTTACTTTTCTTTCCTTTCTTTCACCACCATGCAACAAAATTTGCTCTAATAAATGCTAAGAGTCGACTCTGAGCCGTTGTCATGCATAACAACCATACTCCTTTCTCTTTCCTCCATGTCACCAAATTTACTTGCATGGCAGTAGAGAGAGACCACTAATAAACACCGTTGTACGTGCCCTTATCGAAAAAAATTGACCGTTTTTTTCTCATAGGCACCCGTTGTTTCTCTCTTTTTTTATTTTTTTTAAAAAAGAGAAAGTTCTTAACTGGGCTTAATGTGTTGTTGTGTTTTAAGCTGAAATTTTTGTTTTTGTTTCTGTTCATTCAGGTCGACCATCACATTTGCAGAGGCTGGGTGTGAAGGGCCAGGAGCCAACAAAACAGGGAGAGTGGCATGGGAGAAGCAGCTGGACGATGATCAGGTGCACAAGTTTGTGGACATCAGCTTCATCGACGACGGCTGGCTGTCCCAGCAACCGCAGGTTTAGCCGACAACAACATGCCATGGATGAAAAATATCACAAGCATTTTATATTATAGGCAAAACAGAAGTTCAGAAGTAGACTGTATAACACTTCAATAGGTGGGCTCCACTTGTCAGTAGCACCAAGACATTCCACATTGTTGATCCAGATGTATGCATGGTTGTTTTGCCCCAAGGTTGATATATGAATGTTCAAAGTAATTTGGGACTAGCTATTCTTAAGATATCTCAATTAAGAAAAAAAAGTAAATTTTAGAACTTATATTGTGAGTTTCAACAATTACGCTATATTTTTAATATCTACAAGTATTTTCTTAACAACAATAAAATTTCTCAAAAAGTAAAAACACAAGTGAACAATACATGGTGATGTTCTTTTCTCCTGAAAATGAAGATTAAGTGTACGCAAAACGAGGTGGTATTAACGTATGATTAATTGAGTTTCAATTATTACAAACTTGAAAAATAGATTATTGTTATAATTATTACAAACTTAAAAAATAAATTAATCTAATATTTTAGAGCAACTTTCATATATAAAGTTTTCGTACGAAACGCACCGTTTAGCAGTTTAAAAAGCGTGCCACGATGAATATCCAAAATTTTATCCACCTTTTATAGAGGAAATGAACGGGACCATGGACTCAGAGAGAGAGATAGAGAGAGAGACTCTCATCCTGACCAAGAAAATAAGGTCAAATTGTGCAGATGAACTAATCAAGTCACACAAAGTGCTGCTAACTTGATGCTACCAAGTAAAAGGGTAATTTTACAATTTTAACAAGGTATCATAAGGTACCACGTTTTCTAACGTAAAATTTGATATCTTCACACATTATTAGGTAACTCAAGTACCAAAATTTTTAATAACTACAAGTACTTTCTTTAACTTTAACAACAGTAAAATTTCTCAAAAGGTCAAATACACAAGTGAACAACAATGGACTCAAAATTCTCAGACCGACCGAACTCCCAAGTCACTCACACCACGAGCATGAAGCACCTACAACTCATCGCCCGCTTTCCTACCCCCCGGCCATCTATCTCGCCACATATCCAGCGACCATGCAAAGAAAAACTCTTCCAGATCTCGTTGCAAACTTGCAGCCATGGAGTCGATCGATCGATCTCTCCTACAAGGCCACAACTATATAAGCAACTGCATTGTACAACTCGTAGATATATACTACCATCCAAGAAGGGAAGCTAGCTAGCTAGCCGTTTCTTGGTGGCAATGGCTGGCTCCCCCGTGCTCCGCGCCGCGATACTCGCCGCGGTGCTCGTGCTCCCGTTCGTCGGCGTGCCGGCGCCGGCGGCGGCGCAGACCAAGAAGTTCTGCCTCAGCCAGTTCGCCATCGCCAGCCAGGCGTGCGCCATCCTGCCTCCCGGCGAGGATCATCACCACCACCATGATGACGACGACGACGACGACGACGACGACGACGACGATGATGATGATGATGATGATGATGACGAGGATGACCAGGGTGGTGGCGACGACGACGGCGGGGGCGGCGGAGGCGGAGGCGGCGGTGGCGGTGGCGGCGGTGGCGACGATAGTGGAGGAGACGACGGAGGCGGCGGCGGCGGTGGCGGCGATGGGGACCGTCGCAGCAACCGCAAGTCCATGGTCACCGTCGACGCCGAGGTAGACACCGACGACGACGCCCTGCGCGTCAACGGCACGGGCGCCGGCGCCGGCGCCGGCAACCATACCCGCGGCAGCGGTGGCGTGGTCGTCCGCCGCAGGCACCGCCGTCGCCGCCGAAGCCGCCGCCGCCGCCGCCGCCACCGCCACCACCCCGGCGTGCGTGAGGGCGAAGACGACGACAGCGGCGGCGACGACGAAGACCACGGCGGCGACGACGACGACGACCACGACGACGACGACGACGACGATGACGACGACGACGACGACGACGACGACGATGACGATGACGACGACGACGACGACGACGACGACGACGACCACCGCGCGAACAGAGACTGCTGCCGGTGGCTGAAGGAGGTGGAGCCGGCGTGCGTGTGCGACGCGCTGCTCCGCCTTCCGCCATTCCTCGTGAAGCCGCAGCACAAGTACACCGTCAAGGTCGGCGACAGCTGCAAGTACACCTACCACTGCGGCGGCTACTAGCTAATTAAGCTAGCGAATGTACCATGCATTACTGAGCTTAAGCTGCGTGTTTTCTTCAGGATTAGCACTGGTAAGTGTGATTAAGAAGAGCAGTATTATGGTATTTTGCTGTGTGTTAATTAATTACCACCAGTCGCTTAACACTTCGTTTTTATAGTATATATAGAGAGATATATACATATTGTAATACTGGTGTGTATGTTCTTGTGTTTGCTGGTCTGATCTTGGGCTAGCTATGGAAGTTTGTGTACTAGTTCCTTGTAATGTTTAATTTCTAAGAACACTGTGTACTCAAGCGTACGTGTGCATGCATTGGGGTTGGAGAACTAACCATTGCATTGCAAACTGGAGCTTCTGTACCACGTGCCATATATAAATAAGAAAAATGTGTGTATTTATTATCTTGTAGTTTAGTCATTCTCAAAATGTTCTACGAATTCCGGAATGATTTTGCTATATATTTATTGATAATTTTTCTTTCTAGGACCTGTCAAACCTAAACACAATATATAATTATAGCATAATTACTTTTTTTACTTTGTATATAACTGCAATATAACTTATATGTAACTATCATAAAATTTTAATCCGTTAGATTTACTTCAAGATCCGTGTAAGTCAGGAAGAAAAAAAAATCATACCGCGTGCACGTGTGAGAAGATTCAGTCTCGTCCTCTTGCGACCTACGTTTCTCGAAAATAGCGTGTTAGTGTGAGATTTTTAAAAGTTACATACAATACAGTTTTATAGTTATATGCAATTTACGATATATAACTACACTATGGTCACACTGTATTTACATCCGATAAATTTTCAAGAGAAATTTTGTTAATAAATGTATAGCTCAGTTATGTACGTGGCCTGCACTTCAGGCCCATTTAGAAAGGCCCAATATTCTCGGCCCACACAAATCACCGTCCTCGCGCGATCAGTTTGCTCGCTCGCCTCGCCTCCCCCGGGTCGCATCGTCGCGGCACACGCGTCGCATCTTGTCGGTGGCCGGCACGCGGCGACGTCGGAGCGGTAGGTGCAAACGCACGCAAGCCGAGGCGTACGCGCGAGCCAAGCCAAGCCAGCGAGCGCGCCGCGAGAAGCCTCTCCTCCTCTCCCCGATCCCTCTCTCCCTTCCTCCTCTCCACCGAGAAAAATCGAGGCCAACACGCCACGCAACGCGCGGGACGCGTGCTCCAGATCCAGCGCCTCGCCGCGCGCGCCAGGTGTTCGATGATTTTCCGGTGCGGGAGGGTGTAGGAGGCTCGGAGGAGGAGGAGGTGACGCGGGGGTGGGGGGCGGAGGGGAGGAGGAGGAGGGGGCAGATCTGGGGGCAAATCTGGCAGGCGGAGCGGTGGGGCTGCGGGCGAGGGGGAGGGCGGGGGGCTGGGCGGACGGCGCGGAGGGAGGGGAGGAGGGGGAGGACTGCAGGGGGCTCAGGCCCTGGCGGCGGAGGCTGCTCGCGTCCATGGCGCTCTCCTGGCCCTCGGCCATCCGCCTCGCCGTCGCCGCCGTGCTCCTCGCCGCGGTCGGCGTCGCGCTTTTCACGCTCCCCGTTGACAAGGTTCGCGATAGCTTTGCTTTGCTTGCTTCATATCGGGGCTGATTCAGATACGATCATGTCGCAACTTTTTTTTTATTTAACAAAAAGAATGTGCAATATCGGTAGTGTTGTGCAACTTAGTAGAACTCCGAAATGTAGCTTTGTTTGTGGCCGTGATTGGATGCACTCTCCCGTTGATGATTGTCACACCGAGTTAACTGTAGGCTGCTACGTCACCTTGTCACCTTGTCGCCGGGCCGGCTTGAAAAGCTGGCCGAAGTTTATTAAGTACGAAAGGCTACGTCACCTTGTCATTTTAGAATTTTAGGATTGTTGGAGATTTAGCTATTTAGCCTATCCATTGTTGTGTGAATTATTCAGTACATTGAAATACATGTCCTTCTAGCATCACAAGGGTATTTCTTTGGCTTTCTGCATCCGTGTTGAATGCTATAGTTCAGGAATAACAGCGTCAAGTGAAGAGGGGGGATGCATAGCTAGCATCCTTTATATTTTGGGACGGAGGTAGAAGATTTTATTGTCTTGTTAGATCTCTAGTTCCTTAACACCTAACAGACTTATCTTTGTTAGAAAAGTCTACAATCTTCCATGTACTGTTAACTTCTTCTACATTTCTTGCATGCCCTGTTTCTCTCTTGCCAGCAATTGTTTTAATTTCTTTGTTGTGATTATAAATATTTAAAACTAATTGGAGGTTTTTGTTTTGCTTCAAATGCTTGTCGTTTTCATTTTATTCATTATGAATCGCAATGCATCATTGACAGATTTTGAAGGACTTTCTGGTTTGGATCAAGGATAACTTGGGTCCATGGGGTCCTCTGGTATTGTAAGTATTCAATTTGCTTGTATTTAACTCGATTGATATAGTGAACAGAATGTTCCCCCTCCATCTTCGGCATTAGGCAGTTAGGCATGCCCTTTTCCACACATGCACCACCTGTCTGGGGTGCTCTCTGTATTACATAATGATGCATTTCAGAGGAACCACTCATGCTAAAAGGTAGCCAACAAACATGATACAAAAAAGAAAAGGGGATGTAAAAGTATTTTACTACTTGTTACTTGGGTTTTCATTGTTTTGACATAGAGCTGAGGTAGTGTGACTCAAGTTTTTATATATAGACTTACTTATCTGTACTTAGTGTTGTTCCTCAAGAACATAAATGTAGCTGCAAACAGTCTTGTGATATATAGTTGATAGCTATCGTGTTGTGCATTTCAGGGCTCTTGCTTACGTCCCTTTGACGGTATTGGCTGTTCCAGCATCCATACTTACAGTAAGCACAATCACCTTCTGTTTCTTACGGTCGTTTATTTCATGAATATTGGTTTCTAAGACAGACTGATAGAGCTCAAGCAGACCAATGATTCCTGACCTGGGATATATATTTCACAGTTTACATTGTGCTTGAACTGAAGAAAGAATGAGAAACAAAATGAGAAATGCTGCGTTGGTTCATTAGAATCAATTTTAAGAATAAACTGTCAATTCTAGTATTATCTTGTCAATCTTCAATTGATTTATTGATGTATCATTTACCACAGGCTTAATGTTTTGTACCACAACTCTGTAGTCATCAGTTAACTGTATACAGTAAATGTTGTATGGGATGGCAATGGTGCATACAACTTTTTGTTTAAAAGAAGTTTTAGAACCTTTTCCTTCCTGGATATTTTCTACTGCTCACCACTCCCACTTGTAGGATTATTAGTGAATATATTGGGATAAGTATATGCAAAATATGTAGTTTATATACAAGTGCACCATTGTCTGTATTGTTCTGGTGGAAATTATGTTTGCTCTGCTTTCCTGTTTACCTGACATAGTGACATAAGATGATGAGAGTATAATATTCTGGTGTATATCAATTAATTGGCTGGTGTGCATTTTCTACTTGCCAGCTTGGAGGAGGTTATCTGTTTGGCCTGCCTGTTGGGTTTGTTGCTGATTCCATTGGAGCAACAATTGGTGCAACTGCTGCATTTTTGCTTGGCAGAACGGTAAGGATAATTTTGATTATGGTTTTCACTATTTGTATTTTTTATGTACTTCTGTGATTAAGGTTTTAGTACTTTTCAGATAGGAAGGCCATATGTTCTCTCCAAATGCAAAGATTATCCCAAGTTTCAAGCGGTAGCTATTGCTATCGAAAGGTCTGGCTTCAAGGTAACTTCTTGCACCATGGAGTTTGGAATTCTAGCCTCTGATGTGATGAAGGATATATCAACATCTAAATGCTTTGTAAAATAGCATTTTTTTGTGCCACATGTTTTTTAATGCCTTTGAAATTGCATTCAAATAGTAACAATTTGGATGCCCAACGTATAATCATATAGAATTCACCTCGTTTAAATTATTTCTCTTTGACAATTTTTGTGATTTTCTATATGTTTTGTTGCTTTGCTTTGCTATATTTTTTGTTTTTTTGCTCTCTTTTTTATACAATCATGTACACATCTTTTGCATGTTCTTGAAAAGAAAGTACTTTTCTAGCAACTATAGTTGCTTGATTGTTATTATTTTTATATAGTTTTTTTAAAAAAATAAACTTTTGAGCCTGCTTTCATCCTGAACTTCATTGTTCCTTCTATTCAAGTCTTACCATTGCATGCAACTAAAGTTCTCTTTAATACAATAGTGTATTTAACTATCTAACAATGTTTGTCTTACTTATTTGCCTACAGATTGTGTTGTTATTAAGGCTTGTTCCTTTACTTCCGTTCAACATGTTGAACTACCTGTTGTCCGTTACTCCTGTTGGCATTGGAGAGTACATGCTGGCTTCTTGGCTGGGGATGATGGTATGCCAATTTCTTCTTATTTAAGCAATTTTTATGGGACCAAGCTACATACTGGTTGGCCAGTGAACTTGGCTCTTATCATCTGCTATGTTACATTTTACTTGCATAACATGGAACCAGGCTCTGATATCATTTGCTACTCTATATTACCTGTGTTAATTGGAATCATGCCCTCAATGTTGGCCTTTTGCATAATCTGCTGCTTTATACATTATTCTCCTTCAGAAGTTGGTATTTGATTCCATAGTTCTCAATTTACATATTGACATGGACAAGAAAAGCACCCACAGTAGAACCCACTGTAATTAACTACTTTGCGGCTTACTGTATTACCATTTATCTAAAATGCTGAATCAACCCACCAAGTGTTGCAACATTTTTTTTTTGGTTAATCACATCTGTTTTTGCCAGCCTATCACTCTTGCATTGGTATATGTTGGAACAACACTAAAGGATCTATCAGATGTGACTCATGGCTGGAGTGAGATCTCAACAACTCGATGGGTGAGTAATTACTATAGCATTGTCTGTATTATGTCGTGGTTTTAGCACTACACAATATTTTTTTCTATAATTGGTCATAAGTTTAATCTGAAGTGTGAAAGGGAAATATTGTACTTCAGGACAAGTAGGCTGCATTCGATAATAAGATTTTTATTATTAAGGGAAAAATATACAAAAAGGAGAAAAGGAATTCCTTTTTTTTTCCTTATCACTAATTACTCAAGCAACACCCCTCAGATTATTCTTGTTAGGGTTTTTTAAAGTAGATACTATAATACATTGATGCAGATGACTTTGAGTTTTAGTGACTCTGCTGACACTAATGCTTAATTCTTCTTTTCAGATTCTCATAATATCTGGCTTCATCTTGTCTGGTAAGTGTTGTTGTCATTTTGTGGCCAATATTCATGGCATTTCCACTAAATTCAGCTATAGCTCAAATCTTGGTTACGCTGTTTAGATATAGTTTAATGATCATTTGCTTTGCTTGGTTAGTCATCTGAGCTTAATCTCTTTTTTTAGTTAGATTTTTTTTCCTGAAGATACGCTGAACTAAACAAAATTTCTTTATCATCTTAGCATATGCGTTGTTGACCATTTTTTCATGGTCCTGCAGTTGTTTTGATTGTATGTGTTACAAGAATTGCAAAATCTTCTTTGGAGAAGGCATTGGCTGAGAATGGAGATGCAGGAATTCCACAGCTTCCTGTGGTGGCCTCTCCCTCGGATTTGCAACAACCCCTTGTGATCAGAATTGACACGTCAAATGAAGATCATGAGAAGTGAATCTGTTGTTTACAACTTTACATGTACATTCTTTGGCTGTTCAATCTGTATCACTTTACACTGTAGTTTTTGCCAGATCCATTTTGCCAGTAAAAGAAAAGAAAAAGGAAAGGAAAAATTGTATTGTTAGGTAACACTACATAATTTCTTAATCCACGAGATAACATCCACGAGTCCAACTGCAGTTCTATACTGACTATTCACAGAAGTTTTCAAGCGACTGTTGTATTCCGAATTCGAAAATTTTGATATGCTTTTTCACGAAAGAAAATACGTGCGTGACCTCCTTGTATCTAAAATAAAAGAATTGCTATGGTGCTATCAATCTTATTGAGCTATTCTCATCTTAATCAAAGAGAATTCTTGTTTTGCAAACTTTGTACAAACGCCGATGTGTCGTATTGTGATTGAGTAGCTTCCAATGGATTGACTCAATCAAATGGTTTAGAAGATTTTTCTTGCTCCCTTCGTTTCGAAATAATTGTGGTTCTAGCAAATCTAAGGAAATGATATGGTAGATTACATAGTTGCTCTCATTAAATACATCCTAATTATATTTCCAAAACAGATGAGCTAATGAGAGTTGCGATTGTATTAATGTATGGCTACATTGGCGAAGGTTATGCAGGGAAGAATATCACCTATATGAAGGAAGTAGTAAGAAGTTTGTACGAAATTTTTACTTGCGTGTAGCAAAAAAGTTCAACACTCCACCGATCGCTAGATATTAGGACAAGATAAAAGAGTGGCCGAGCGTGCAAACTGCACGCCCTCTGATCACGAAGACACGAACCCAAAACGTTCAACTGCACACTACCACTTCGTTAACTGCACTCGCCGTCACCTTTGATCCCTTTGGGTTTGGGCTCTCCGAAACATCCAACGCTAGTTTTGTTCATCAACATCTCCAAAAGAAAAAAGAAGTTTTGTTGATTCCAAGCACAAGCGAACAAAGCAACCGTCCCTCCATCTCGATCAAGAACGGCAACACCAAGAACGAGTTAATACTATATTATAGTAAGCAATCATCAGGTTGATCACGGCAAGCGATTAATCCATTCGATCTCCTACCCCTGTACCGCCATTGCCGGCGGCGTGATCGAGTGAGCAATGGAGATGGCGAGCGCGAGGAGTAGGCCGGCGGCGAGGGCGAGGCAGGCGAGCGACCAGATCGTGGCGTGGGCCGCCTGCGTGCTCGTCTCCGCGCTCTCGCTCCTCCTCCTCGTCGCCGTCTCCTCCGGCTTCGGCGCCGCGAGGCTCACCGGCGAGATCAGCGTGCTCGTGAGGACGACGACGGCGGCGACCACCACCAGCAGCAGCGACGCCGTCGATGACGTCGCCGTCGTCGCCGCTGCCGAGCACTGCGACGTCGTCGACGGCGAGTGGGTGCGTGACGACGACGACGAGCGGCGCCCGCTGTACGAGCCGCGGCGGTGCCCGTTCGTCGACGAGGGGTTCCGGTGCCGGGAGAACGGCCGGCCGGACGACGCGTTCGCCAAGTGGAGGTGGCAGCCTCGCCATTGCACTCTCCCAAGGTTTTCTTCTCCTTCCAACACCAAAAATTCTCTCGCGATCAGTTCATCGATGGCCAAGCTGACAAGCTGTTACTCATCATGATATCCATTTCCAGATTTGACGCGAAGAATTTGCTCGAGACGCTCCGAAACCGGCGGCTGGTGTTCGTCGGCGACTCGATCGGCCGCAACCAGTGGGAGTCGATGCTATGCATGCTCGCCACGGCCGTCGCCTTCGCCGGCGACGGCGACGGCGACAAGGCGGCGTCGATCTACGAGGTGAACGGGAGCCCCATCACCAAGCACGAGGGCGCGCTCTCCTTCCGGTTCCGCGACTACAACTGCACCGTCGAGCACTACCGGTCGCCGTACCTCGTCCGGCGCGGCCGCCCCCCGCCGCGCCGCGCGCACAGGGGCGCCGCGTGCTCCACGCTGCAGCTCGACGCCATGGACGCGAGGGCTCACCGGTGGAAGGACGCCGACGTCGTCGTGTTCAACACCGGCCACTGGTGGAGCCGTGAGAGGCTTCTGCAACTGTACGTTACAAATATTTTCTTTAGTATAAGGCCGTGTTTAGATTTCAACTTTTTTCTTCAAACTTTCAACTTTTCCATCACATCAAATATTTGAATATATGTATGGAGAATCAAATGTGGACGAAAAAAACCAATTGCACAGTCCGAACGTAAATTGCGAGACGAATTTTTTGAGCCTAATTACGCCATGATTTGACAATGTGATGCTACAGTAAACATTTGCTAATGACGGATTAATTAGGCTTAATAAATTCGTCTTGCAGTTTATAGACAGAATCTATAATTTGTTTTGTTGTTAGTCTACGTTTAATACTTCAAATGTGTGTCCGTATACTTAAAAAAAAATTTGGCGCACGAACTAAACACAGCCTAAATTACACTTTGCACCGGGTAGAAATGTAGTTTCACGTTGCATCGGGTTTGCTCCATATTTTTACTTTGCACCGAAATATGTCAAAATAAATTTCACTTTGCATTAGACCGCGTCATATAACTAAAGGAAAATCTTATAAACTACGAGTAAAACCTGTAAAACCTTTTGAAATAATTTTACCATCCTTGAAAAGATACCGGAAGGTACCACACTTGCTAGTGTAAAATTTAGTATATCCAAGTACTAAGTATATCGAGGTAAAAAAATTTAGTGTAAAATTTAGATACCTCGAGGTATTTTTTTAAGGACTATAAATATCTCAACCTTTTGGGTTTAGATCACGTTTCGTTTGAAGTGCAATTTACTCTCTTCTTTTTCATAGGACTAACCTTGTCATGCCAGACGCTGCAATTTCCAGGTAGGCAAGAAGTTGATTCTGAACATGAGCATCGAGGCAGCCTATCAGAGAGCAATGAACACATTAACCAGCTGGGTTCACCGTGAAGTAAACCCACACAAGTCCCTGGTCATTTTCAGAACATATTCACCAGCACACACAAGGTCAGTGAAAAACCGAAAATGGTTCAGACACAGAAAATTTTTTCTGTAGACTGTTACAAATTTCATACACATAGTACATTGCAACATTCAATCAGCATCAATTCTGTAAAAATTTGCAGGGCTAGCAGCAATGGTGGTTGCGCCAAGGAGACAACACCTGAGCTGAACTCATCAAGGATTTCACTTCACCGGTGGCCAGGGATGGTGAACCCGGCATTTGAGCCATCGAGATCCGGCACGGCGGCGGCGAAGCTGCGTGTGCTGAACGTCACGCTGATGACGGCGCAGAGGAGGGACGGCCACCCGTCGGTGTTCAATGTCGCGGCGGCGGCGAGGTCGCCGGCGAGGCAGAGGGCGGACTGCAGCCACTGGTGCCTCCCCGGCGTGCCGGACGCGTGGAACGAGCTCCTCTACGCCATGATTCTCAAGAGGTTTTCGTGATGTTGTATATAGTGGATGTCAATGCCTGCTCGGCATTTGGCAACAGATGGAATGGATCATTTGGGATCATGAGAAATGTGAAGTGGTCAATTGTCATTCTGACCGCATTTTTTTCTGTAATTATTACGTTTAAGCAGTATGCTCTGATGGAGTTTCCTAGGTTAGAGTACTGTGATGTTACTGTTAGAATTATTCTGAGAAATTGTACTTTTATCTCACAAACTGTCTGTGAGGATATTGCTTCTGAGTAATATATTCCCTTCTTCCCCGCAAAAAAAAAAGAATTATTCTGAGAAAACATCAGTTCTCCATGTTTCAATTAACCAACCAATTTACAAATTTAGAAAGCATCGTGATTTGTGTCGTACTGCCGTGTACTTGTGTTTGGCAGCTATAGAAGTAAAATGCCTTTTGGACAGAAATCGCTTGACAATTTTCAGCGTTGTTGCACAGGAGAGAATCGCCGCCTGAACACCCTATAATTTGCACATGGAACACAAACAGCCGACGCTATCAAGAAGAAATCGCGCGAAGAGGAGGCCCAATAGGCTACGGCCCACGGATTTCCAGCGAATACGGCCCAAAGTATCGGTCCCAGCAACAAGGCCACGGCCCACGGCCTGTCAACCAGGCCCTCCTAGCACTCACAGACCAAGTGACAAAATGCACAAGGGCACGCCAAATTTACAACACACGACCCGGAATAGAAAACGAGATACTCTCCTGTGTCATCTGGCGCAAGAAAATGAAGAAATCGTTGGTGTAACTCGGAAGAAACGTCTCCATCTTCAGCCACTGGAAAATGACTCGAGACAATCAAAAGAGGCCAAATACGCCAAGACCTACGGCCCCATCTTTTTGGCTTATTCAACGTATTTGCAAACGAAAATCAATTTGTGAATAAACTTTTATATGCGTGTTCTTAGTGTTCTAAAATTAAAAACTGAAAAGTAAACTCTAATGAAAAAAAAATTAAAATCAGCTTTAAATTTAAAACTGAAAATTTAACTTTTAACCTAATAAACATAGACATAAGTGAAACAATAAGGCTGAGCGTCATCTTTTCGGGGAGATAAGGTGGGGTTTGGATACAGGGACTTAACTTTAGTCTCTGTATTTAAACACTAATTTAGAGTATTAAATATAGGCTACTTACAAAACTAATTACATAAATGAAAGCTAATTTGCGAGACAAATTTTTTAAGCCTAATTAATCCATAATTAGAGAATGTTTACTGTACCATCACATAGGCTAATCATGGATTAATTAGACTCAATAGATTCGTCTTGCGAATTAGTCCAAGATTATGGATGGGTTTTATTAATAGTCTACGTTTAATATTTATTATTAGTATCTAAACATCCGATGTGATAGGGACTTAAAAGTTTTTAGTCCCATCTAAACAAGGTCTAAATTTGGTGGCGCAGCGTGTGCGTGCGTGCAATGAAAGGTTCCACATCTCTCTCGAATATTCCACCAACGGCGACAATCCATGGGTAAAAAGCCTAAAGAAACATGACCAAAAATCGTAATCAAACGGTGATTATTCAGCGAAGGACCACACAAAACAAAAGGTGGCGCAACGTGACGACTGGGTGAAAGCTTGACAAGACACGCTACGAGTTCATGGACCTCCCTCGGTAAAAAAAAAAAAATCTAAACAGGATATGACACACATTTCAGTACAATGTATCTGGACAAATGTATATCTATATTCATAGTACTAGATGTGTCACATCCAGTACTAGGTTGGTGTTTTATGGGACGAAGGGAGTAGATCTTTTGCTAAGTGGAGGCTAAATTCTCATCATCAGAGGAGTATACTACTCCATCCGTCCCATAATATAAGGGATAATGGGTGGATGCGACACATCCTAGTAAAATGAATCTGGACAGATGTGTCACATGCACCCATTATCTATTATATTATGGGACGGAGGGAGTAAGGCCTGGTTTAGTTCATAAATTTTTTTTTCTCAAAAACGTCACATCAAATCTTTAAACACATGTATGGAGCATTAAATACAGATAAAAACAAAAACTATTTGCACAATTTGCATGGAATCCGCGAGACGAATCTTTTAAGCCTAATTAGTCCATGATTATCCATAAGTGCTACCGTAACCCACATGTGCTAATGATGGCTTAATTAGACTCAAAAGATTTGTCTCGTGATTTCCAGGCGAGTTATGATATTAGTTTTTCATTCGTATCCAAAAACACCTTCCGACATCTGGTGAAACATCCGATGTGACACTAAAAAAATTTCTTTCCGCAAACTAAAGAGGCCCTAATACGTAGTAGTACCGAAAATAATAAAGACAAGAGTTACACAGCGTCCTCTCATCGTTTCAATATAAAAACTTGTCATCCAGGACGTAAGGACATGTGCTGTTGCAAGCACGGCTACATTTTCGCCCTTCCATTGATTGTGGATGTTCTTGTGGTGGGGGGAGTTCATTGAATTCAATGTTCAACTACTTCATCAAATGAAATGCATTAGGGTGTGTTTAGTTCACACAAAAATTAAAAGTTTAATTAAAATTGGAGCGATGTGATGAAAAAGTTAGAAGTTTGTGTGTGAAAAATTTTTAAATGTGATGAAAAAGTTAAAAGTTTGAAAAAAAAAAGTTTAAAACTAAACTCGGCCTTACCCCGGTGGTCGTGGTTCTTTCCTTGTGTTACTCACTACCAGGGTTTCATTTACCGCCGGGGCCGCGGTTACCGCGCCCCGGCGGTAAGCACGGTTACCGCACGGTAACCGCGGTAACCGTGACAAACCGCGACAAACCGTATAAAATTTATCAAAAATTCAAATTATTTTTCAAATTTATTTGAATTTGACGCGGTTACCGCGGTTTACCCCTTACCGTACCCTGCGGTAAGCGCGGTAACCGCGCGGTTTACCGCGGTAAATGAAACCCTGCTCACTACAGCGTCTACACCCACTCACCAAACAAAACGAAAGAGGTTGTAGAACGGAGATATGGAGATGTGACATTTTTTTTCACTATCTACCATCCATTATTGCGTGATGAACCAACCTATGCAAAGTTGTTAGTGCCCCCACAAGACAGTCTGGTCCAACTACATGTCTGCTCTGATACTCTGTGCCCTTCAATTATAAGGTCCAGTTCATGACTTCATCATGGTCATCTTGGAAACAAATAGGAGTATGACCTTAAAAGGATAAAAAAAAAGTTGGATAATATTCACAAGAATTTCCTATAGATGTAATGAAACCTCTTTACACACCTGAAATATGAAATGTTCAGGCTTGTCATCTAATTTCACTAACAAAAAATCGGTGGTGTCAAAAAAATGGGGGAAATTTACAGAAACGAAAAGGGGGAAAGTCTAGCAATAGGGGTTGGGTCCAAATTCTCTGCTACTACTATTCTGCTCGCCTACACTTGCAGCATGGTCCAAAGGATTCATGATTCCATCTCGAGTTGCCTCCCATTCACGCAACGACGAGAGGAGTCTCGCCTACCGGGTCAGCTCAGGCTGCACAGGCGACAGGATGAGATCACCTCGTTCTCATGTGTTTCTGCAAGAATCTCCAAAGGGTTTGGGACTCGTTGATCGGGTGAGCTTTTTTGTGTCGCGATCAGGCGGCGCCGGGGTGTTGTTGCGGGAAGCGCGGCGTCGGCACGAGCGGGTCGGCGCCTTCCTGCATCTTGTGCAGCCGCTCCGGTATCGTGGGATCGAACAGCCGCGACGTCGGGTTCTCCGCGAAGCACACGTAGTAGCATCCCACGCACGCCTGTGGCAGCGCCATCCCAATCCGTGTCTGCACAACAAAAATTCTCGTGAGCACAACAAAAGAAAAAATTTGCTTCGGTCTAACAAAAAATACCTAGAGATACCGGTAACAAATCATTTCCGATTGTTGGATCTAACAATGTCCATCTTGTCCAGCTAGATCCAACGATCGGAAACGATTTGGTATCGTGAGGTAACGGTATCTCGAGATACTTTTTCACTCGCTCGGAACAAATCTCCGAAAGAAAATGTGTCTAGAGAGGTGGGGCGCGAAGCTGCGGTGCGAACCATGAGGTATCCGACGAAGAAGGCGAGCAGCGAGACGGTGGCGGTGTAGTGCTTGTGCGTGGCGAACGTCCACGACCCCGCGAGCGCGACGCAGAGCGCGCCGCTGGTGACCCCGGTGAGGAAGCACACCGAGCTCGTGATGTCCGAGTCCACCAGCGCCGGCATCCCCTGTAGCCTCTCGAACTGCTCCCACGTGCTCCTCGACGCCTGCACAAACCCCCTCCCGTACGCCGCGATCTGCAAACACCACCACCCATCCGCCATTGTCACCACAAACTTAAACCATGGAGCAACAAGAACGAAGAACGTGTGTCCGTCGAAGCTCACGTGGACGAAGGCCCAGCTGTTGCCGAACTCGAAGATGGCGTTCATGACGTGGAGGCAGCAGTGCGCGCAGGAGAACATGAACTCGTCCTCGCCCTCGAGGAGGTTGAGGCCGCGGGCGACGATGCGGAGCGCCTCGATGGTGGGGACGAACAGCGAGCCGAGGCAGGCGCTGCCGAGGTTGTAGGAGAGCGCGCGCTGGAAGCTGAACTGCACGCTGGACTGCATGCCGCGGAGGTAGTAGAGCGCGATCACCCGGCTCGCCGTCAGGTTCGCCACGTTCCGCATCACCTCCGCCGTCCACATCAAGCTGAGCACCAGGCCGAGGATGGTCAGCCCCGGGAACCGGTAGTTCGCCGCGCCGATCACCGCGACGCACCACACGGAGATCCACACGAACCCGGCCGCCACCATCAGGTAGGCCGGCCCGTTCAGCCCCCGGAACTTGTCCACCGGCTGCACGGCGCGCTCGAACACCCGCGCCGTGAACCCGACGCGGCGCGTCACCCAGCACGCGTACAGCCCCGTCCCGATGGAGAACATCACCATGGCGACGCCGAGCCCTACGGTGGCCGGCATGGAGAAGCACATCAGCATCGCGCCCACCGCCAGCGTGATGCCGAAGCTGGACCACAGGATGACGCCCACCATGGCGCGCGGCCACGCCCGCACCGCCTTCTGCCACGCGAACGCCAGCACGATGCTGAGCGCCACCGCGCCCTCCACCGGAGGCAGCCATTCCCGCAGCAGGCTTCGCTCGCGCTGCGCGTTCCGGGAACGCGGGTGCTGCACGATGTCCTTGACGGCCCTGAACACGAAGAACCCGACGGCGAACGTGGCCGCGGCGAGGTGGACCAGGAACACGCACAGCGTGATGCCATTGGTGTACACGCGCGAATTGAGCGACGCGAACGCCACCTGCCACACTCAAAGTTAATTAATTTACTCAATTACAACCAAATTGGATTAGCATAGGACATTACCTAGCACATGTTCTGCAACCTGAAGCTTAATCTACTACTTAATCTAACGGGCAATAGGTTTTGGTACCTATGGAATAATTGCTATGAAAATCAACTTGTACGGTGAACTGGAGATTCGATTCCAAGCATTAGTGCATTACTCTATTCTAGAGGTATTCTATTAGGGAGGTATTAGAGCTTAAGTTACACATGAGTCATCTAATGAATGAAGGCTATACGTTAGGCTACATTGATTAAGAAATCGTGTCAAACACTACCACCTCTCTTATCTTTTTCTGTCACCGAAAGGCTGAGCAACTTTGGGCTCGCACATAGCTGCACGCGTTGCTGATTTATTCGGTTGTTGCTGAGTGCAAACATTGCTAATCTGCTTGATTGATTGAAAGCATTTCCAACTTGCAAAATACTTCAACTTTCTTTTTACTCAGATACGAGTTATACCACAAAATATATCCAAAACCCAATCAAATCTTTTCAAAGTAAAATAGTAGTACAAGTGGTTTAGAATTGTATAAAACGAGATCAAACTCAACTTTCTGTATCCTCTAAAAACTGTTTCTTGGAACTAGTTAAAAAACCAATTCTGCCATTGTCGTTGCAGCCAAAGTCGCCACATGATCGCAGAAATTTTTATGCCGAAATGTCAAGTGGAGGGGATTGAACTATACAAAAGAGTTGCTTGATTATACCAAACAAAATTATTGACATGTCCACCAACCAGTTTTGTGCTACAAACAGTTGATCTCACTCACACACGCACACACACCCCACATGCGTAGAAAAGACTCAGCCAATCTCACTATTTAAATCAAGAAGATTCAGAGACCACCGAATTTTAAATTCAGCCAAAAAGAAATCAGCAAATTGGGCATTTGTTTAGTTACCTGTGGTGGGGTCTGCATGACGGGCTGGAAAGTCGCCACCTGTGGCGGCGGCTCAACGCCGCCGGAGGCCACGGACATGGGCGGCGGCGGCGCCTGCGTGGTCACCTGCAGCGGCGCCAGCGGCCGCTGCGCCTGCAGCCTCGCCACCGGCGCCCCAGGCGGCTCGTCCACCACGACCACCTTCACCTCCCTCTCCTTCGCCTCCGGCTCCCCCCCTCCTCTGCCCCTCTCCGGCACATCTCCCCGCGGCGGCGCCTGCACGAATCCAACAACGGAGCAACCCCATGAGCAAGAAGAAGCACAGTAGACAGTAGACACTACTCAGAGAGAGAGGAAAGAGCCAAGAACGGCCCGTACGGCGGCGTTGTCGGCGGCGCCCATGTCGTCGTCAGGGCACCGGGGGGAGGAGGAGGTCGACCGCGAGCGCGGCGCGGCGTGGCGTGGCTCCTCCTGGCGTCGGCGTGATGGCGAAGTGTTGTTGGTTGGGATGGTGGTGGAGTGGTGGTGGGGTGTGGACTATGGAGGATTTGGTGGCGAGAGGAGGAGAGAGGGAGGAGGCGGAGGCTAATCTGTGACCGTTGGTGTGGCCTTTTCGCTCGTGCGGCAACTTACGTATTGGTGGCTGCGGTGATGGGGCGTCACAACTCATACAGTCATACGGGACGTGGTGGGCCCGGATCGTCAGTGGGTGGGTCGGTTTGTGATGTCCTCTTCTCCCTTTCGTTCTTGGGACTTGGGAGACGTTTTGTTTGGTGGGAAATTTTGCCAGAGGGTTATTCTCTTTTTAGATTTTTTAAATACAAATGTGGTTATAACGCGCAAATATTCGTCCCTCTATAACTACCTCCGGAAGATTTGAACCGATATATTTTGATATTGATGAAGTCACACCAAACATTTCGTTGCCGTACCACTAAAAAAATTTAACCATAAATACGAGTACCTGCATCAAATCTAAAACTTAAAGTCGAGTGAGGTGTTCTGCCATAAGAGGCTGAGTTCGGGAGTGGGAGCTAGGAACCCTCACTTACAACATGTAAAACAGAGCGACCGTTAGTGCATGATTTATTAGGTATTGGCTAAAATAAACTTGAAAAATAAATTAATATGATTTTTTTAAGAAACTTTCCTATATATATATATTGCAAATACGCACTGTTTAGTACTTTAGAAAGCGTGCGCGTGGAAAACGAGAGAGGTGAGTTGGGAAAGATAGGGGAAGAAAACAACCTAAGTAACATAACCATTTAAGCTAGGCTCATCTCACTTTTTTTTTCACTCCGGCATTGGCATTTTTCTAAGACGTTGGGTAGACATCACAAGTTTTTTAAGGAAAAAGGCATGAGCTCTGACATTCATTTATAGAGGAAAGCAAGCAAAATAAGGAAAGGTAGGCATCACAATGTCTTTTATTTTTCTTGTTTTTGTTTGGATTCTCGATCTTTGGAGTTCTGAATGTATTTTATAGTTTTATTAAGGGTGAAATGATTTGGGCTTTTTGTCGGGCACACGTTGAGCACGCAGCCACGCAGGCACGTACAGAGAGGTTTTTCCTGTTTTTTTTTTTATTTTTTGGGCTGCTTTACAGAGAGGCTTGATTTGCTTGTATGGTATGGTCCGCGTGGACCAGCCATTGTCACCTTTTAAACAAGGGGCCATATCGTATGCAAGGGTCCTCGTACGGTAGCCCCTTTTTGGCATCTTATTTTCACTGAGGGTGATTGTATCATTGCTGTGGTAACTTTGTATTTGACGCGACGATTGATTCCTGCATTTCTTTTTTAACCCGGCAAGAATTAGAGAAAGTTCAGAACATCCTTGTCATAGGGGGGAAAAGGTTAAGATCTGATTAGATACTACTACTAAAAGATTAATAATATGATTATGTCCATGTCGTTTGAGTGGCGTGATCATCGTGACCTTATCCACCTTCTACAGTTTCTTGGTTCTTTCGAGGTGCTAGCATCTCGTTGTTGATAACAGATTAACAGTCAAGGGTCTGAAGAACTCTGAACATGTGCAAAGCATTGCGTTGCAGACTTTGCAGCCCATGTGCTGATGATTTGCATTTCATTCAACGGCATCTGCAAATGTTGCTACAGAGCTGCACTCCCTAGAAGATCCCTCGCAAACCAAGTTTTACTTTGACGTTTTGACCTGACATGTGTGCGATTCGACTGACATGTGCGCGATTCATGTATTGCGAGCTGGTGTGTTTTGATTGAAATTGAAACGATGTGATGGAACAATTGAAAGTTTATATGTGTAGAAAAATTTTGATTTAATAAAAAGTTAAAAATTTGAAGAAAAAGTTGAAAACTAAACCAGAACTAAATTTTGATATGTCGGTTGGTTGGGTTATGTGTCCTTGTTCCTGTGCTGTCTGTGTGTCACCTGGGATGTGATTTTGAAGCTGAACAGATAACTTTCATCTGATTTTTCCTATTGCACCGACTCACTATCGTTTGACCGCCAGATACACGTAAACGAATGAGCAAGTAGAGGAGTAGTATACTCCTAGGTGCTACACACAGCGTTTGCCTTTTCGTTTTCGGAGTGAAAATCACTCATTGATTTGCCGAGAACCGATAAAACCAGTGATCCTCGATCAACGCGATACGAAAACCGGCTAAAAATGACTGTTTTCACGAACTGATGATAAAAAGGTTTCACGAAAACTAACCGGTTTTTTAAAATCCTTTCGGTTTTACGAACCCTGCCTACACGAAGCTTGGACAGTGACACAGATATTCCAGAGTGTGAAACAGCATACACTAGCTAAAAAAAATGGAATCAGGGACGTACATGAAATGCTTTGAGATCCGCGCTAGTCAGGGGATGTCGTAATCCGCTTCCGCTGTCAATTCGAGGCGACTGTAGATTACAAGTGCGTTTAGGACGTAAGACCGGGCAAAAACATCAGGTCCAGCTCACGTCCGACTCATCCGAATTAAAGCCTGACAGCGCCATTTCCAGGATCTTGTCAAGGTTACACTTACACGCGCCTAGGTATGTTTAGAGAGCTTCTTGCTACTGTAACTTCTTTCAGAATTAGAAGCTTCTTCAAATAATATAGATTTTGGTCTAAATTTTAAGAAGTTGTAGTTGTAGAATTCATAAAATGAACTAGAAACCAGAAGCTAAGAAAACTGGCTTTTTTAAATTATCAGAAGCTGGCTACCAAGAAGCTGTTTGAATCTTAAGCTCTCAAAATTTTGCTTCGTGTAGGAAAAGAGCGCTTGGCTGTTGGCTCTCGCAAGTTTCTGCAGCAGATGTGAATTGTCGCTTTCTGCCAAGGCCAACAGAGAATCACAGAGATTATTATCTAAAGAAACAGAGAATCAGGGATAGTAATTGTCGAAACTAGATTTCGGCAATAATAAAAGGGGGTGGCTATCAAGCTTGGAAAGTGTATGGGTTTGGAGACAAAGGATTTATACAGGTTCAGGCCTTCTTATAAAAGAAGTAATACCCTACTCCTGTCCGGGGATGAATCCGCCGAGTGTATTATTGATTGTATGATTCGGGAAAAATCAGCATATGCCCCTAGAGGCGCCCGGACCCCCCTTATATATTGGAAGGAGTCCGGATTACAAAAGATAATCTATATTCCTAACGGAATATGAAGATAAAGGTAAAATACAGTCGTAACCGACTAAGTCTCAGGGTGTTTCCTTGATACACAAGTTAAGAAACAAACCCGAGATACAGATAAGATATTCTATCTACATTAGGTATCCTGTACCCAGTTCGAATACCATCGCCGTGTAGATATGGGATACCCATAATCTCCACAGTAGCCCCCGAGTCCTTTGCAGTCGACCATCGTAACCCTCTCAAAGATGATAATCCGAGTACTTCAAACTCTTCAAGCCAAAATCTGCCGAGTGGACTGTAAAGGGCGAAAAGATAAAGAATATGGTGCATCGAATAGATGCACCTAATTAGGTGTAGCCCCCAACTATGTGATTAGTTAACAAACTAAACATATAGTTGAAAGACAAAATAATAACACTATTGTGCATTACATGACAAAAGCGTACGCGGCGCCTAAATAGGCATGCTAGCCGACTGCTTTTTAGCCACAATAAAAGAAATCCGAGTGGTTTACACTCTAAAAGGTTCACGAATGAACTCACTTGACAGGCATCCGAATAAAAAAACTCTAAAGATTACCCATCAAGTACCATAAAGATTATGGTAATAAATAAGTCAAATAGCCTAGGCCATGACTATTTACCATGAAAACAGGCATATAACACGCCAAGGAAATGACTATAATAAAAACAAGTCATTCCTAGTTAACCCAAACAGCTTTTGTAGCCTAAAAAAGCTTGCAAAAACAGCATAACGCCTTTCTGTCGGACACCTTTTTAACTTGCATTGCAATAATTCCAAAGAATTATATGACCGCATAAAAAGGATTTCATCAGCATTGGGCAACACTGTTGTGTGCATAATATTGCCAAAGCAAAATATGCCTAAGTCCCTAAGGAACACAATGGGCCACGCTGTTAAAAGTATTGGGCTGAAGTACTGTTCAGGCCTAGGCCCATTAGCACCTCCGATACCCTTAACTGAAAAATCCGATATCCAAGCGGCGCTTCGTCTTCCCCGCCGGAACTCTCGCCATTTTCCCCACTCCCTGCTACAGTGCAAAGCTGCGCCGGCGAACTAGGGTTCACAACTCCGGCCAAATCCACCTCCGAAAAGTGCATCAAAATCCTTCCCGTGATCCACCGCCTCAATCCCTCACCTCTCCCAAGCCATCCCTCGAATCAAATCAGCACATTTGAGTGAAACCGATGGCGGAAGAGAGAGAAAGCTTCGAAGGCCAATGGGCGTCGTCCGACGTAACGGAGGAGGATCTTAAGGAGATGGTGGCGCACGGCGTTCTCCCTGCCAAGGAGATCATCGGGTGGCGACCAGCGCACGGTGAGGCTTTCCCGTCTCCGGATACTCATGAGATTGTGGTCTTCTCGCATTTCTTCTACGGCGGCTTTGCTCTTCCGACCTCAAAATTTTTCCGCGGGATCTTGAATTTCTATGGAATCAGCTTGCATCACCTAAACCCGAATTCCATAGTGCATATCGCCAATTTCGTCCATGCTTGTGAAGCCTTTTTGGGGATCAAACCTCACTTTGCCCTATTCCGCCGGATCTTCTTCCTCAAGCCCCAACCAAACAAGAACAAACCGTGTGTAGTCGGGGGGGCAGGATTCCAACTAAGGGGAACTCTGAGCCAAAAATATTTCTCGATGCCCTTCAAGACTTCGAACAAAGGATGGCATGCAAACTGGTTCTATGTTCAGAATCCCGAGCCTGCTCTTCCCGGGTACTCTTGTCTTCCTCCAGTGTACCAAGATACTTGGAACTCTCTTCCAATCGGAGATGAAGCAGTACAAGCCTTGGAGTTGTTGGATCGTATGTTAAATCTTAAAGAACAAGGCTTACAGGGAGAGCAAATCACTCGGCACTTCATCAAATGCCGACTGGCGCCAATCAAGGAAAGATCCCGCACAGCATTCGAGTTCGACGGCAAACATGATCCCAACCGTGAAGAACCAGATTCCCTGGATTTCAAAATCATGAAGGAGAGGATGTATA